CTTAGAATTACTCCCTCCTAAACCACTAACACAGTCTTAGACCCCCAGCTACATACTCAGTGCTGAATCTAAGAGCTTCTCATCACTCTTGTAGGAGTATGAGTTCATGGTAGGGCTGTAGTCAAGACCACCACTGTCAACTTCAAGACAAGCCTAAGATCATGATTAATTGTCTAAAGGGGGCCGAGTCCCAGTCAAAACCAAAACCAAAAAACATCAAATCTTCAAGATCTCCATCAGGTACAAAGAACTGGAAAAATAAGTAATTAAAGAGTAGTATGTATCATACACATTGTCAAACGAGTGATTTATGACCATCCCCCCGCCGAGTGATTTATGACGCATGATTTATGACCCCCTGTGATTGACAGGCCAGTTTTGAGTCTACAGTTACACCAACTGTTAGTTCTAGCGGTAGTGAAACCAATTTGGTTTTTGCGCCAAGGAAGAAACGATATGGCAATGCATTTGGTTGCAGGCCTCGCGAGCACTCCAAGGGTGTTAAGATTAACCTATTAGTTTCTCTGGCTTATGACGTGTGTGGAGAGGGTCAAACCTTAACGTTTGTTAAAAGGGAACCCCAAAACTATATCTGATCCAGCCGATGACGTTGTAATCCTACAACACATCATAAACAACAAACAGAAGGAAACATGTCTCGGTTGTGAAGTGAAACACCCCAGTCGACTTCGACATTCATGCCTGTTTGAGCCAGACATCTTTTTTGAAAAATACTATAAGGATATAACACAGACATTGTTCACACCCAAGTTAAAATATGCCATAGTGGGGTTTCTGTGTTTTGGAATACATCTGCCTCTTCTAAAAATCAAGGATGTGCTGAAACCGTTGTCTGTGAATTACAGTGTGAGCCAGACAAAGTCATATGTGGCGATATCTAACAGCTATAAATTCCAAAAGGTACATTGATGTTTTACAAGACATAATGTGTGGGTACAACAGCTGTTATCATAGGAGTATAAAAATGAAGCCTGTTGATGTGACCAAAGAAAATGAATCTATTGTGTTTAAAACGTATGGTGTGAAAAACAAACTAGACAAGGAAACTATATTTAATTTTAAGATTGGCGATGTTGTGCGAATTTCTAAAGTCAGAGGACCATTTACAAAGGGTTATGAGGAGAACTATACACATGAATTTTTCACCATATCACACCGCATCGTTCTGAATGTGCTAATTACCACAAACGACAACCATGGGTGACAACGGCTTTTGTATTAAATTGCTATGCAATTCATCTATGTCCGTATACCCTGATAATCAAATTTCTAATTATAGATCAAAACTGGCAAAACCGATCGATTTGAAAGGTGACTGGGAAGTGGGATTGGAGTTTCAGTACCCGCGAACATGGAAAATGTTTGATTAGGCTGATGCTACATTTACAGCAATTGATAAAAAATTAGAAAAAACAATGCAAATAACACTACCTACCAGATATTATAACATACCCATGTTGATTGATGAGAAATTTTCATCTAGTGCCGCATTCAGTACTTCTTGGTTATGACCAAATAAGACACAAGGTTTATATTAAGACGAGACCTGGTATAGGATTAATATTTGATGGAAAACTAGCCATTATTAGGCCTGTAAAACATCCAATCAGGTTTTAAATGGAATCTTTTAACATGCATACCATGGACCCAGAACACTATGTCTCTTACTCAAAAAATCAAGCAGGTGGTATCATGCCTGGCTATGCAGGCAGCCCTGCAATGTATGGAGCTGGATTTGGTGGGATTTTTAGAAATTTATTCAGAATGGCGATACCATTGTTCAAGAGGGGGTTTAGTATAGCCAAACCACATCTAAAAAACAGCTGCTAAAAACATTGTAAGTGATATAGTCAGCAATGGTCTGACACAAGCAATGCGAAACAATCAGGATGGGTCAGGTATGTTGGTGATGGCTCGAAAATCTGTGAAACGACCCCCCTGGTAAGAGGCGTGGTCGACCTGCTAAGAAAACCAAGTGTGAGCCGAAAAAACACAGTTTCAAAAAGGAAGAGAAAGGGGAAACAGACCACACAACCAACTTGTAGGAAGACTGTAAATACTATTTTCTGATCATGGCTCTGCTTCACCGCATGTCTGAAGCACGTATTAAATCAGAATTGGACTTGTTTACAGTACCTTTAACTCAAACAGCTATCGAGAAAAACACTTATGTGGAAATTCCACCGCTTTCAGGGATATCCGACACAACTCCTTTGGAGTTTTTCATAGCCGGACATGGTGAAGATTATACAGATCTGAATAACACATTCTTGTACCTTCGTCTTAATATCATGAAACCTGATGACGGCGCTGCTGTGGGATTGATAAACTACCCTGGAGCGACAATATTTTCACAGGTCGATGTATCCCTAGGTGACAGATTGATATCACAGAGTTCAAGTACCTACCGATATGAAGAATGTATTATAGAATGTATCATAGAATGTCTAGCCAACTATGGCCAGGATACCCTGGAAACTGTTTTCTCTGTGGGACTCTTTATGTGGACACTGCAGGGCATATGGATAAAACAAACCCCGCTAGGAACAACAGCGGCTTGGCGAAAAGGGCTACATTTACAAATGCTAGTAATGTGGTAGAACTGCTGACCCCAATTCATAGTGACATATTTTTTCAGGAGAAATGCTTAATGATGCTTAATGGCGTTGATATAAAAATTTGCATGACATGTAGTAAAGACGAATTCTGTCTAATGCAAAATGATGCTTACAAAGTAAACATTCTCTCAGCATCTTTATTTGTCAGAAGAGCGTCGGTATCACCAGCTGTAAGGCTGGGTCATGCTCAGGCACTGCTGTCAACAATGGCTAAATACCCGATTGATAGAGATTGATTGTGTGTTTCTAACCAAGACAATTTGTTGTTGGGGACTCTACCAAAGTCCAAGATAATAGCGATGGTTGACAACGATGCTTTCACAGATGCATACAATAAAAATCCTTTTGCATTCAAACATTATGATTGAGTTTCTTGCTGTCTATGTAGATGGACAGCAATATCCAGCTAAACTACATCAACCTGAATTTCATTCTGGCTCTGCTGTACGTGAATTTTATCAGTTAGCTCTTGCATCTGAAAAACCAGACATTGCCTATTGATAGGACTGATTTCCTACAGGGCTACACTGTATGCTTTTAATCTTACACCTGGTGAAGAAGGCGGATAACGTGTCTTTGGTCAAATCGGGTAATAAAAGACTGGAGGCTCATTTCAACTTCCACACACCATAAATTTGATTGTGTATGTTGTTTTCGACAGTATTTTAGTGGATTTTTACTAATGAATACCTTAGAACTGACCACTGTCATGGATAAAGTGGCTGTCAACACACATTTTCTTTGTGTTAGCATGAGACCAATTACCAACGAAGTTCATAAGGAAATTACCAACAATGGTGATTATTAATACACACGCATCTGATCTATCCGGTGAACACTGGCTAGCAGTCTTCATAAGTGAAGATCATGTTGGAAGTTTTTTTTGACAGTTTTGGAAACGGTCCAGACTATGACATGTTTCCAAAAATGATTAGCGACTTTCTTAAAACATCATGCATAGCACAGCGGTACTCAACCAGGCAAATACAAGATTTTACACCAACCACTTGTGGTCAACGTTGTGTTTTTTCTACACCACATGTCTAAAGGGTTGAGTTAGGAAGATGTAATGTCTAAATATAGTTTCGATTTAATAAAAAATGACAATATGGTTTCAACATTTGTGAAAAATTTGTATCTGTGTATTTGTCAGACCAAATTTTTTTAAATGTGTCCACCATGTTCAAACAGGATGGATGTTTACTGTGTAATTTGTGCCTCCTCTGTGTAATGTAGCTATTGATAAAATAAAAACAGGCAAAACAAAATTTCAACTTTGAGTCATTTATTTACAGTATGTAATACAATGGCATTTAACATCTGTATTCAGTACATCAAATGAATACTATATGTTCTGAAAATAATGTATTTACAGTTCTGACTTCAGCTGGCAAGTGTTGGTTTTTTGGAGCAAACAGGAGTGGAGACTTGAGGAAAAGAAGTTTAATGCACGTGTCTTCCCAACCTACACAAGTCTAATGAAGCTTACACACTAATAAGTTCATTAGACGCCGTTTGTAAAATAACAAGTCTCTGCGCTGGTTTAGCTTTAAATATAAGTTTAAGTGGTAGGTCTCTATACAGCCTGTCAGACATACTGATCTATCAGCGTTTTCTATGAATGTAAACACAGGACTGTTTGAAAGCAGATCTGTTCTTAGACGAAAGTCTTAAGGAGTCTTTGCTTTATAATCAATCATGAGGTGACCGAATGGTTTACTTGCAGCATTTTGAAAACACTCCATGAAAAACTTTGTATTACCAGAGTACATCTGTCTACCTAATACACCGACCTGATTGCTGTCTCTAGGATTTTTAAATAATAAGAGAGTTTGTGTTCAAACAAATTGTCCTACTAGACTTTCCTTGCAAAACGAATTTTGTATTAGGTAAATGGCGCTTAAATTTCAATGGTGTACATACGGAGTAAGTACCTTTTCTACCTCAGTGTTATTGCTAGCATCTTTCATAATAATCAATAATTAGCAAATTATTTCTGTTAAGTGGTAGAAGTGTGTCATCATTTCGTGATGTTGGTATCCCTTGAACAAAATTAATATTTCTTATTTTTAACATTTCATCATAAAGGGGCTGCCAACAATCATAAATGTATACTATGTTTTCTATTTCCTTTGAAACCAACTCAACACGTTCAAGCAACTGTTTTACAAAAAAATGTTTTTCCAAAATTTGATGGTCCACTTATTACACAAGAAATGTCATGGACGTCTTTAGTACCCATAAGGAAGTGATGAAAAATCAGTATGTCTTAGGCTGTCCTGAGCAGAACTCTGTAATGTAATCGTCACCACCAATCTTGTCTGTCAAATCACCTAAGTAGGGCCCCGAGGGGGTTCCCAATCACCTTCACGAGAAACAAAAATAACACTGTCACTGCACAACAGTCTGTCACCTAATCTATCCATTAGATTGTACAGTTCTAAATGGGCGTGCACTGTTGTAAAAGCACCAAGAAATACATTAATGTCACGTGTTGGGCAACTGTCTCCTGTGGTATCGGATACAAATGAAAAGTGTATAACATCATATCCATCACCAAAGATGTGTTGTGAAAACTGTTAAGGGTCAGTCAACAGCTCTGACACAGGCAAATTTTCCCTCATTGAAAAACGACCCCACAAGCTGTTTACCAACAATTTGTTAATAGACCTGCTTGCTGGGTTAAGACATATCTTGTCAGGATTCAGCTGAATCTTTTCCTTTTCAAAATAATCCCTGATGTACTCGGCCCTCTCTTCCCCTGTGACAGCATGTGCTGGATAACCGCTGGCCTCCTGCTTGTACTGTAAAAAGGTCTTTACATACTTGCAGAATAACATCTCTGAACTGTCTGGAAAATGCCAAACCTCGTGGATTTTTGCCACCACATACCCTTTCTAAATAGCCTTCATCAGTTCAATACTGACCCAACCCCCTGTAATGGATCTATCACTATGCATACACGTTTGGAACTGGTTTTCCTGCTCTGGACAAGTATGACACAGTGGGAACAACTTGCCATTACAGTGATATGGTAAAACATGGTGTCGGAGTGTACACCATGTACGGATGTATGGTTGCCTTGACTTGGCTTTTCGCACACCAAATTTTTCATAATACAAGTCTACATAATACACACCAAACTTTATTCCTCCATGAGTTAGGGCGTGGTGTACATCAACATATCTTGTACACTTAACATACTCAAGCCATTCAATAGAAGCATTAGAGAACGTCTTGTGTTCGTTAATGTATGCGTTGTTGTGCTTCAGTGCTAGTGTGTCTTTGGGTAGAAAATGTGTCTTGTACACAGCCATGCAACATGATGCTAATGTTGTATAATTAAACGGGTCCAGCTTTGTACACTGAATGAACTCGTTGCGATACGTAATACATGCTTCACGTAGTAAAACGACATCGTTCCTGCCATAAACGTACAACTCCTTTTTGAAGTCAAACACACCACCATAGACCGTGCCGTACCACTCGTCAAACTGCTTTCTGTCTTTGTCATTCATGGTGTCATAGCCGTAAAAACTCTTGTCAGGGTATGGACCCACATAGTTCTCATTTTGCTTCAAATTAAATTTGTGCGGGAAATGCCCTCTCTGAGCATGTTAGATTAAGGCTGACGCCGTATTAGCCAAACGCATTGGAATGAACGAGTATGAGTCTATATAACATTGTAAGTTTCGTCATACATGGAGATCAGTCTACACCCCCATCATAGTGATTTCCAGTAGTAGGAAATTGTCAAAACCTGCTGCACTTTGTGCTAACCATGTGTAACCCAGATATTTGGGCCGCCTAACTTTTTTGTTGTTGTAATTAGTTGTTCTACACAGTCAGACCCTTCTGCTGTGAAGTCTACCATCAAACGTAATTGCACAGACAAAATTAGCTTTGTGCTTGCCGTTTTCAAATCGAGTCTCAAAGTCAAAAATTGGTTTCTTTTCATTTGATTGGCTGTATGTAACATTCATGCATCATATCTGATATTAATTCTTCATCGCAATGAATACAATGTCCCGACACACACCTGTGGGGTTTTGGTTTTGTTAAACTAACATGATAACGACGTCCGCATTTTTACAATACTTGGTTAGATCGCATGGGCAGTAGTCAGACTTGCAGTAGCATGAACAGTCATCACAATATTTGACACGTCTGGGTTTCTTGTGACACAACGCATCTTGACACACATCACGGATGTATTTACAGCTATGATCCCTGGCACCTGTGTATCCCTTATAACAAAACTCACAAAAATATGGCACACCCATGAATGCTTTCACATTTTTTACCAAGTAATAATGGCCATCATGGAGATACAGAAACACAGTCTTGGCATGTGGTTTGTCTTTCGATTGGTACTTCTCTAAAGCATCCGAACTGCTCTTGTGGAACAGAATTATTTTAACACCAAATTTATATTCAAAACGACCAATGTCACTAAACCCGACTCTATGATCACGTGTGTAGCCAGCGTTTGTCTGTTCAGAAAGTGAGCAAGGCAGATTGCAAAACAGGTTATTTGAGATGTTTGTTGGGCAGAAAAGATTCAGTCTGTTCCTATCGATGACCTGGTTGTGTGCAAGGTCGCGCACCTTACGCCAAACACCACCATTTTTACCCATAGCTTTTGAGACAGTCAGGACCAAACTGTTGTCTATTTTAATGTGCTTGTTACTCTGCATAACCCTTTCGAAAGCGTCGGCAAACCTGTCAACGCTGTAACCATCTCTTAAAGACAACACGGCATTTACATCTGATGTTAAACTACCACCTCTTAGGGTAATGTCGATAACACTACCATCACCGGCCAACACCCTGGAGAGCGATACAATGTCTGATAGCATATTGTGTACATAGACAGTGTATGAGGCCATGTCTGTGGATGTGGCATCGCATAAATTCAATGTCCTGTGTAGCATAACACTGTTAAACCTACTTCTCGGCACCACAGTATAACCATCTACAACACCGCCGTTTCTCATCAACACTGCTATGTCACCGTCAGATAAACCAAAGCCAGGAGCTATTGGATCAAGTGTTGGGAATCTATGTGCCTGTACGCCAGCGCCTGTCTGTTCTGGGTTTCTGTGTTGTGTGTTATTTTGTCCTGGGTTTTCTAAGAAAGTTTGAGCTGATTCATACACGTCATTTAAGCATCGTAGTCGTTCGCTAATAGATGACTGCTCCCAAGCATCGCTTACGGTATTATTACACATAAAATCTGTCGACCACCTGTAATTATCATCGCATCTACGATGTGTTGCTGGTGGCTTCTGTATTGTGTCATTTCTATTTGACAACCATTTATTCAGTGTGGTTTGTAAACCACCAGTTGCGATATAACAATTAACATTTGCGTCGTGTTTAGTGTCTGTGTCTTGCAGATTATTACTTCCGGTATTAATAACCGCATCATACTCGTCATTTAAACATCGTAATCGATCGCTTACAGACATATGCCCCCACGCATCATTTGCGTTGTTAACACACGGATTGTTGTCTGACCCCCAACAGACCCCCCCCTTTTAGATACAACAAAAAAAAATTGTTTTTACTATTAAATTTTTTAAAACAGTAATTTAAGTTGAATTTAACTACTGATGAGGTGGTTCATTTAATATATAAACAACAAGAATATGTAAAAACAAAAGTATAACAAAATGTCATAAAACAACTACTTTGGCGAATTTGGTGAAAGTTTTAACTGTAAAACCCTGTTCAGTTTAAACATTGCATCTGTTAAAGATTTAAAATATGCATCACGTTCTTCACGCATAGCAGGTATCATCTGCTTTGATATTTGTCGTACAGTGTACGATTTTCTTGTACTATTTTCTCATTATGTGTGGTTAGTTTCTGAATAGCAATATTACATCTATGCCCAATAGCAGCTTGTCTGCACACTTCAGTGGTAATTATAGTGATCTCTTAAAACTGTTGCCTCACCAATGTTCTAAGCTCGTCAATATCATTAGAATGGTAAGTGCTGCTTACCTGATGTTTGTGCTCCTGATTCGGTCTTAAGCCATCCCCATCAAAGTCTCTCAGTTCTTTCAATAGTGTTTTTAGTCCAGCATTAATTGGTCCAGAATCCGTTGTTTCATCCACCTTTTCTGTAAAGCTGTTCTCATTCCACGTGTTCAACAACTCCTCAGTCCAGATAACATCATCGGCCTCCGGCGCCGCTCCAGATCCCCCCCACATCACCATATGCCGGACGGTCACTGGTGTACAAATCTGTAAACAGTTTAAGAAAAACATTTACACACAACCTCTAATGTTATTACAATATTGTGAATAGAAGCCACTTATTTTTCTTACCTACAGATTCGTAGTTATCATCAAACCTAAGGCGTTTTCCGTGTGAAATCGCCTTGTCATTTGCACTTGAGCATCTAATCAGACGTTTTCCGTGTGAAACAGGCTTATCGTCAACACTTGGTCTGCAGGGCCCTGCGGTGGTTCCCCAGGACTGCTTGTCAAACAGGGCCTAAACGTCGGCAATCTGGACCCGCGGTTGTCCGCGGTGCTACAAGGTTCAGCCGTTGAGGTACTGGGTACAGCGTCAAATCCCGGCGTGTTAAGAGACCCATTGTTTCAACCAAACGGGTCAGACCTACTACAGAAAATATATGAAATAGTATTACACACCAACAACTAACAGACAAAACTATAACACAACCGTTGACTCACAAAGCGGATTCTCATAATCTGATGTATTTGCAGATTCGGTAACAACAGAAATGTAGAAATTATTTGTGATGAATATCAGCAACTACAAGTAATGAAATAAATAATAAAAGACGTTGAGGGATGTTGAGGGAATTCGACATTTTTCTGAGCGCTGAACGATTTCCAGAGGGCCTTGGTGCCGCGCCTGGGTGTGTTTAGTTGAGTTAACTGTCTACGATGGCGCGGAGGGAGCGGGGTGGCCCTCAGTGCTAACGGGCTGCCCTGTATGAGTCTTTTCTGCAGGTGTCAATAAGGAGCGCTTCTCCATTAGATGACAGTCTCTCCTGAGTCTCTCCTGAGTCTCCTTCTTCACCAAGAGGCTGCAGTACTGGTCATTATGACTGAAAGACAGAATGTAATCGAGTGTCCATATGCCTGTGTGATGCGCGTGCACGCATAGGGGAGTTCAGCACAACACCGACAGAAAACTTATTGAACTTGAGCGCGTCAGCAGCTGCTCTGGGGGGCACGAAGCCCCCGTCAAATGGTGGGAGTTCAGTTTCTTCTCCATATCATTTCTTTCTCATACAGTTTGTACAGATCAAACATACAAACGACTGTACAAAAAGTAATATAGCCGATCAATAAACCAGAACCACAGACCTGATTTCTGTGATTTCTGAGCTTCACACCTGCGCTCTGCACCTTTATTTCCGCTGATGATGGGAAATTCTAAATGTGGATCATTAGAAAACGACCCTTTATTCCACCGCTGTTTGTTATTTGATTTTATGATTAGTTTGTAAAACTGTAAAACGAAGCAGTTTCTTGATTTTTTTCCACTGATAATAGCAGAACCAGAAACGAGAATCGACCCATTTTCGTTTTTCAATACTGGTTTTTAAAATGAAAGTCAAATGAACAGAAGGTACACGGACCGTCTCTCTATCTCTAAGTCAAAAGAAATGGCACCCACTCCTACACCCTGGTCGGCACAAGTTCAAGTTACAAGATCATGAGCTTACTGCTAAACAGTACAGGTAACTGGGCAGAGAACAAGGGGTAGAGCTAAGCTAATACATTTGAGAGGACAGACAGCACACTAGCCATAAAACAAACGTCTTGCTGAGCTGCGGTTCTGATCTAAAAACAACCTCCCCAAGCCGCCATGGAGGAAAGCCTCGAGGACATCAGTCGCAGCCATTGAAGAAATACCCCATGCAATCGCAGCCAGCCAATCAGATGCAAGCATCATTACGGGACTCCAGCCAATCACACGCACGAGTGGGTCGGGTTCCTAATAAGCGAGAGAGAGAGAGAGAGAGAGAGAGAGAGAGAGAGAGAGAGAGAGAGAGCGAGCGGGGCGTAACACCTACAGCAACACAGCTGTTTTACAGGCTAAACCACAGGATTTTGAAAATGCTGATAACCACACCACACACAAAACCCCACAGACACCACACAGCCCCACTCTGAGCATCAGCCAAGCCAGCAGCCCAGTTAAACAATGCAACAAAAAATAGCATCTTTAACTTTCCTGTTTTTTAGGAGTATCTTGTGGCACTAAACATTTTTTACAGTACTGTAAAATAAAAACAGTACTGGTACTGTCTGATATCGACCCAAAACACATTTCAGTCTCAGACGCCATATTAGTTATCAGTGACTCTGTGACTACCACACTGACACAATCTAACAAAGAACAAAACAAAGAATCTAACAAAACAAATAAGTTCCCCAACAGGCGTAGATCACAAAAACTGCATAGCGCTTCAACTGAACGGTGGGAAAAGTGTCTCAAAGCTTGTCTGACATTTTTTTCTCAGCAGTAGGGATTCAAACAGCAGCAGCCTCGTTTCACAGTAACACTGACCAAGGAAACAAAGCTTCGGTACTAAAAGTAAAAGTGCGAGTGAGCTATGCGAATGTGTCTTCAGCAGCTGATGATGTCATCAGTAAATAAATAAAATAGCAGCACCAGTACAGTAACAAATTATTTTAAAGAAAAAACAGTATTAAGTATATTTATGATTCAGCATTGCTGTTCATTTCTGTATTTTGTAGACACAAAAAGTCAATCAGACATTCAAAAAGTCTCCATCTCCAGTCTTCAGAGTGTACATTCACATTCTACATTACAGCATATCCACGTAGAAAATCATAAGCAAACAAACTCTTCGAAACCAAATATATAATATGAACATATATATATATAATTAAAGAAAAATAAGCCCATACAGGTGTGGTAGGTACCTGTACCAAAATTAAGACACTAAAGATATTTAATATTATGCCTCATACATTTAGATTAGACACATTAATAGAATAGAAAGAACAATTGAAATTCTGCTGTAAAATTTACTGAAAACAAAAGCAAAGTACGGAATCACACCTCAGTTATGTTTAGCCTTCAAACAAAAGGAGATATGACTGAAGAAAGATACTACAGATGATAAAATACCAGAACAGCAATAGTAAAAGAAGAATATGTCTTAATAATGAATAAACACTTTGCTCAGATAAGAAATTGCAAATTGCTTTTAAAGGAAATACATCACACTACATCAACACTACTTTTGCATAATTATGTTGAAAGTACAATGTTTGTTATAGCATAACAATAAAATAATCTAAATTTAAGAAAGCCCGTATCAACTGTTTATAAAGACAGAATGGAAAAATAAAAATATTAAAATTGACAAGCAAATGTAGACATGCAGTATGTACAAAAATATTCATTATAAATGAAACTGATTTGTTGCAAATACGAGAGAAAGAGGTTTAAACAACACATTGTAATAATGTAAAACTGTTCCATTTGACACTCATCAACATGCTCCAGCTTCTGTTACTGCATATGTTTCTGGTCTCCTCATCAGGTTTAGCTGTGAAATACACAGTGATGGACATTTCTAATGAGTCAAAGTTCAAGTTCATATATTAATATAGAATATTGGCTAATTTAGGAATGCCTGTCTGAGTGTATTTGTTATAAGTGATCCATAGGAAGACTGTGAGTTCTCACCTCGAGCTCTGTAAAATTTAACGGCCAGCACAATGGTCACCAGCAGATATGGAGACACTGCCATTAAACTACTGAGTAGACTGAACACTGAGAATGAAGCTCCTGAAACACAATGAAATACTGCCGCGTTGTAACTGTTGGATGCATGATATTATAAAATAATAAAATAAAATACAGTTTTTAATTTTATTTATATACTTTCTGTTGAAATCAGCAAACCTCTGATTGAGATCCAGCTCTGTGGAGACTCTCCTCTCTCTGGGTGTTTACAGTAATAGAGACCTTCATCTGACTTTGAGACAGTATGGATGGTCATCTCTCCTGTAGTCTGAGTCTGGAGGAGTGATCCATTTTTATAGAAATCAGCTGTGAGGTTTGAGGGCTTTGGGTAACGATATAAACAACGTAGAGTCAGAGGATCTCCCTCAGTCACAGGATGAACAGGACTGTACAGAATCACAGCACCATCTGTAGGAAAGAGTAATATAATATTGAAAACAGACATGTGGAGAAAACAATAATAATAACTAAGAGAACTCTGTCACTGACAGTGTGGATGTTGAAATATTTTCATGTGTAACTTCCCTGACTTCAAAATAGTATTTATCAATTTTAATTGTTTTCTACCTTTATTAATCTAACTGCAGTATCATCTGTATTTAAAAAAAACATTTCAGTTTTCAGTATTTCTATCTTTTTTCCACAGTTACTGGGCACCAAGTAGTGCTAATCATAATATAGACTCACTGTGCACTGCGATGTTGACAGGATTGCTGCTCTCTCCAGATTCAGACTCACACCAGTACACTCCAGTGTGGGATGTGCTGAGGGAGCTGATGTTGCATGTAGATTCTGTAACTGATCCCCAGCCTGATGAACAATCTGACACCTTCTCACTGTGTGTGTATCGTCTCACTCTCCATCCAGTAGAGTTACTCTGTCCCTCACAGCTCAGTGAGAGAGAGTCAGCACTAAAGTGTTGAGTTCTGCTGGGACTGACCATCAGAGAGACTGGACAGGAAACACCTGCAAGATGCAGACACACAGAATGATGCTGATACACTTCCATAATCAATCATACACAAACTATTCATGATAGAATGAGTTTCATGAAGCCACATATTGTTTTTATTTTTGTTTGTTGTCTGGATAGTTATTTGCTCTCGTGTGCATGAACTAATCATGCAAAACAATCCATAAAGAAATAAGCAGTCAATTGTCCATTTAGTTACAGGCACTTACGGTGCATACAAATAAGATAAACCGCATCTTCTCACCCATGGGGCAATTTTTACTCTGCAGATGTCTTGCACCTAAGCAAATGTTTTACATCCTGGACATAGCACCACAATTCATAAGAATAAATGCAAATAAATCAAATGAGGTTTGGTTCCTCTCAAGGTTTCTTCCTCTTGCACTTAGGAATTTGTTCCAGGCCTCTGTCAACCTTGGCCTGCTCATTTGGGGCTTATATTTCTGCAAGCTACTTTGTGACAATGATGGTTGTAAAAAGCACTATATAAATAAAATAAACAAATAATAAAAAAAATGAATGCAAAATTGAATACATGCATGAATTCTTAACCGTAAACATAAATATATTTCTTATTTTTTAAAAAAAAGAAAAACAATCAAAAAGAATAAAGTTTGTTTCCAGATTTCTCTTGGATGCTTCTAGGCACCCCATACATTTGTAATTCTATCACCAGCACACTTGATTTAACCTAAAGAAACACTGAGGTTTGCGAAGAGTTAAAGGAACACATCTATGTCTGCAAAATCAACACTTATAGTATAAAAGCTATTTGTAGTTATTCTAATGACTTCTGCCTATTCTGCCTGGAATTTTCTCATTCAGTAAACATAATAATGCTAAAATGAGAGAGGGAATAAAACTAAACTCACAAATTTCTCTCTTCTTGAGGATAAACTGCTCAACTACTGTGATTCCAGCAGCATTGGGTGTGAACAATATGTTCAACAATTTAGTTGGTCATGGACAAATTACCTTAGTAACCATAGTTTTACACTTAATGGAAATACCAAAGGTGGCAATAATTACAGAGCCAATCGTATATGGTTACTAACAATTATACAACTGGCATTCTTAGTGACAAACCTATTTAGGCTCCCTTCCCTGATTTATAAAAGGCAGAAACATACTCAATACAAGAACATGAAAAGCGTGAAAGCAAATGACAACGGCTGGCCAACGTACAGTCCTTCTGTACAAACACAGCTTGTATTCTTCTGTTACTGTTATATATATATATATATATATATATATATATATATATATATATATATACACCATCTCTCCATTTTTTCAGATTTTTTTGTACATTAACTTTACATTTTGTGAAAATTTCATGATTCCTGGAACAGTAAAAATACTCTAAAATTGCTTGGAATAAAATTTCTTAACTTACATTAAAAGTAAAGGTTTTTGCCGTCTCATGTAAAGTTGACACTTTGGAAATTTTTTTAACAGTGATGATGTTTTTATGCAAGCAAACCATTCTTGTGCAAGCAAACCATTCTTGCTTCTGGCCTATGGTAGATTTAAACCTTACAACACTTCTACCTCTGCCTGCTGTTTCAAGAGATGTGCCAAATAAAGCAAGACAGAGATGGGCAATATTTTATGTCTTTTATTGCATATACCGTACTCGATCTGCACACACACCTGCCCTTGCCTTTTCATAAACACACTCTAATTTCACTGAGCTTTTTAAATTAAACAGTTTCTTACTTGTCCCTGTTTCCGCAAAAAAAAGCTGAAGCCCAGCTCTTCCACACTTACAAAGGTCCTTCATCACCTTAATGCTGATTGATCCTGTTAGTTTCTGCAGCTCTACTTCTAGGCCCATTTTATAGCCTTTAAGAGTCTAGTTAAAAGGACTGTTCAGATTTTTTAAAGGTTTAAGTTGTATTTTGAATGAAGCAGTGTACCTGAAACTTATGTTACTCTTCAGATCTGCTGTGCTTTTACATTCAACACTGTCTTCTGTCAGAAAGTTTTCTACTCACCAGTAACACTTATCCAGAGATCATCACTGTAGTGAGTGTAGTAGACTGGGTTTCCTCTCCCAGCTCTGCACCAGTACTGTCCTCCATCAGAGACACTGACTGAGCTGATGGCGTAGGAGTGTGTTTCAGTCTTGGTCTCATTCTCAGGGTTCTGTGAGTGTTTGAACCAGTAAAACTTCCATCCAGCTGACTGATCCAGCTTACAGTACAGAACCACTGGATTTCCTATCAGTGCAGCTCCTTTATGGCTTAATGTGAGTTCAGGTTTAGGTTTTTCTGCTGTTGGAGATGCAGTACACAGTTTTTAGGACCCAAACTAAAAACTCAAATTATCTAATAAAAATTGTCTGTACTATACATAGTAGAAGTTGGAAAACAGTAATGTAAAACTACTTAACTGTGTCAGTCTTTATTACACAAACATACATAAACTTATGTAGCTCAGAGGAAAAACATTAAATACAAGGAAAGTGGACAACAGGGAGGTTGGGTATTGAGTAACAGAGAAGAACAGGTCACCGCTGTGCTCTCCTCATTCAATATCTAATTAATAAATGTGAGGGTTTATTTTATCTACCCTGAAAAAAAGAACACTCTTTTGTATTAAATTCATAATCTGTGCGCATTTTGTATGATGTTCTGCATAAGTACATGCTCAACAGGAAAAATGTTACATAGGCAATTCTTTAAGAACAGGAATAAAAAAAAAATATTCCAAAAACAAGATTGATATACCGTATTAAAACATTAGTACATGTTGGCACTAATTTTCTAATCAGTACTGTTTTTGCAAAAATAGAATAACCTGCAAAATTACATACAATAAGTTAAACACAGCTGACACTGTCAGTAGCACATAACACCGCAGTACTCAAGTGTGTTCCTTACAAACAGCAGATTACTGTAAAACTGTGCATTCTGTAAGAAACAGGTCCAGCTTTTTTGTCAAAGAAGTTAAAATTTTGAATTTTACAGTAATTAGCTGTTGTTTGCAAATCATGTTGGGAACATGGCCATACTTTGTGCAGTCTTGAGAAGCCTGTCTCTGAATATTGTGGTAATGGAGGTGGAGTCTCCAGGCATTCCTTAAGATTTATTAGCTTTTACATTTTGCAAATTTGGAGTATATACTGAGATTAATGAACACTGAAGACTCACCTGATACAGTCAGTGTAACAGCTTCACTGGTGTGTGAGTAGCGTGATGTTCCTCTCTCTGTTCCTCTACAGGTGTATTTTCCACTGTGAGACTCTGTAACAGAGCTGATGTTGTACTGCTGTTCACTGACAGGAGTGGATGAATCATCTTTAAACCAGCTGTACTGCCAGTTAGAGACACCTCCTCCCTGTATGTCACATCTGAGAGTGACAGTCTCTCCTTGGAACACCTGTTTATCAGGCTGTATGGACACCACAGCTTTTGGTCTCTCTGTGGAAACAATAAAACTAATCAGAACAATTATTTCTAATTTATTTATTTTTTCACGTCTATACACACACATTAGTTTCTGTTTGAGAACACTGATTTCAGATGTACTGCATGTGATCATTTATCATTGGTGTTCCAGTTAAAATACACTCAGATTTAACAAATACCATTTCATTAAATTCATCATCTCTGTACATTTTGCTATTACTGAAATTTCAAATGCTGAATATTAACTATAAAACACTAAACCATCTTGTGAGGTAAGAGTACAGTCTTATTCCAAACCGGGATTGATATACTGTAATAAAAACATTAGTATGTGTTAGTACTAATTAACAGGGTTGGTTTAGCTACTGAAAATTTTGTAGTTAGCTACTTTGTAGCTACTTTCCCAAAATTTGTAGCTAGCTACAATATAGCTACTTTTCCAGAAAAGTAGTGGCTACTTTTTAGCTACTTTTTGAAAAATAGTGCACTATTTTTAGCTACTTTCAAAGCGTGACTGTGAGAATGTTTGTGAATCTCCACCTGAAACACCAAACAAGCCCAACTGAGAGTGTGAACAAGACACTGCATTTAATCATGTGCCAGAAAAAAACATACAATTGAAAAGCTGCAAATGTACAAAAATATCACCAAAAAGTATAACCAACAATCAAACTTACACAACCAAAGGTGTGATATCCAACAAAAATTTAGACTAAGTAAAGGCAAAGTCCAGGCTTTTCCTAACAAAAATCAACAAAAATAACCATATAAAAAACAAACAACTTTGTGCAAAGCATTGTCAACTGTTGAAATAAAACTGCTCCAGTTTAAACATTTTAGCAAGAAATACAGACAGACATTCAGAGTCCTTTGTTAAACCTCAGCAACACTTTAGCCTCAAAACTCTCATCAGTGACCCTGGCTCTATTTGGGGTGAGAATCAGGCTGAATAATCGCTCCTCTGCTGCAGAGCTGCTGAGGCTCCACAGCAGAACTAGATTTTTAGGTTAAATAACATGATCCTCCTTTACTGTAAAATCATTATAACACACAGTTCTTACACAATAATTGGTCTTAAACTGGAGTTAACGCATAACTGCTAATTCACCAACCTTTAACCCTGAAGACTGACGCGCAGATAACAAAATGGCAAAGAGAAAGATTTAATACGAACATCGTTAATTTGGAGATGAATGGGCTTATTTGCATTTATAGGCACTCAGCTGGTTTCCTGATACGTTTAATCTACAACAACTCGTGGAGCTGATGTCGCTTCTCATTCTCCTGCTTCTCGTTCAAATTTTCCCGTTCCACCTTAAATGGTGCCTGAGGCGCCAGATTGTACTGCTGGACAATTCAAACGAGAAGCTCGTGAATGAGAAGCGACTTCAGCCTCGTAAAAAGTCGAACGTTGAGAGACATTTTACAAGAAACCCGTGGAAAGGTTTCCTGACTGAGGTGCGAGAAAAGCAGCTACAGCTGAGCCAAAGCTTAAAGCAGAGCAAAGGCCCGAAACACACGCCAGGATACAAACGCAGACAGGGTTTCACGTGTAGTTGTGTTCAAAAATGTGTCACGGCACATTTCATTACACGACACAAGCACGAGCTGCATTCTGAGCGTTACAGCAAGGGGCGCTATAACGACAGTCAAGCCTGTTCTAGCGGTAACAGACGAGCAGTTGAGTTTAATTATCACATTTCCAGTCCAAGAGAAGAGGTAAAGCAGCTCACTCTCCTCTACTATCCATGTTTAGCTGTTGAGGCTGTTGCAATAACAGTAGATCCCTCTCTGATTGTACTCCATCGCCCCTTTAGTACAGTGTTTTAACCTCCACAGCAACGTAAGAACGCGTGGTGAGTTTGTACAGAAGGACGAAGCATTCGCAGTGTGTTGGCCAAGCGCTGTCATTTGTGTTCGCGTCCTTGCATAAAGTATGTTTCGGGCCTAAGTCTGCGTTTTTGTTTATATTTGTTAGCCTGTACATAAGCACACACTGAGACATATTTACAGCCAAGATGGTAAAACGGACATAAAATGTTGTGGCTCTCAAAGTGGTCTATTTTTGTTGAAAGGACAGAATGGCTCTTCTTAACATTATGGTTGCGACCCCTGAGCTAAGCCTACTACTAAGGGATGATCAGCACGTGGGGCCAGCACGTGACCGTTTGCTTGAACTGTCCGCAGCTTAGTCAGGACTGCACAGTTGCCACCAGCCCAGTTAACGACTGTGGCTCAAATTTTGCGCCGATTGCCTGAAGCCTGTAGCGAAATCGTAGCGAAAGTTATCGCTATAGTTACACAAACGTTTGTAGGCCCAGCTACATTTCATAAAACTGTAGTGGCTACAGCTATTAGCTACAAAAATTAGTAGTTAACTACAAAAAGTAGTGTGCTACTTAGCTACTCCCTCATCCCTGCTAATTAATCATTTTTGAAGCCATTAAATGATACACGTTACTCAAAATACAGTGGGGGTATGACAGCAGTGATCTTACCTTTCACTGTGAGAGTAACAGTATTGCTGCGTTGTGATGATGAGGGTCTGTTACCTCTCTCTCCTCTACACCAGTATTGATCCTGATCTGCTGCTGATGTGATGGTGAAGGTGTTTGTCTGAGATAGACTGCAGTGCTATTGCTGCCTTTATACCACTGATATCTCCAGTCACTGTAAGACTCTATCTCACACTTCAGAGTGACTGACTCTCCAGTGAACACAGGACTCCATGTGGGTTCTACAGTCAGTGTAGTTCTGGGTAAAGCTGTGGGAAAAGATGAGATGTTGATGTAGTATGTAAAAAAATATTACTATTTCAAAGCACATTATTCACCTGATTCCATACAGTCCATATATGAAAACTAAGCTACAAAAGGAGTATTTGAATTTATTGTTTTTATGATGTCACAAAAAACAACATATTCACATATATCTACCTATTCAGCCTAAAGCTGTTTAGCCCCACCCATTCATGTTAGAAGGAGTGCTTCAGATAGTTTTCTGAAAGAACCACGGTGCAGGGCAGCCAATCAGTACAGAGCTCATTTACATATATCAGACACAATACCAAAAGCAGCCAGCATAATTCTAAGGGAAAGAGAGCAGTTGGAAAATAGTGATGTAAAACTGTCAGTGTCTTATTAAATAAACATACATAAACTTTATATGTGAAGGATAAAATGTAGGATATGGACTCCTTAAAATAAGATTGGGTAACAGGGAGGAACAGGTCACTGCTGTCCTGACAGTATCTAATTAATGAACATGTGTGTAATACAGTTTAACATAAAGACTAAGAAGGGAGAAAAATATTAATAACATTAGTTCTATCATGTAAACAAAAAAGTTGGGACGGGGGCATGTTCATCATTGTGTTTCATCAACTTTTCTTTTTAACAGCACTCTGTAAGTGTTTTAGGAGACCAACTGCTGTAGTTTTGAAAGTGATAAAGTCTCCTTTGTTGTATTTTTCATTTCATCATGCGGCAGGCTTGATTAGCACCTGGATGCTTTTACTACAGAGCCAGTCTGCTGTAATACATGCAGAATGTGGTTTGGCACTGGCTTGCTGAAATAAGCAAGGCCTTCCCTGAAAAAGACGTCGTCTGTATGGCAGCATGTGTTGCCAAAACATGCATATATCATTCAGCATTAATGATGCCTTCACAGAAGTGCACGTCACCCATGCCATGTGCACTAATGCACCCCTATACCATCAGGAATACTGGCTTTTGAATTGTGCACTGATGACAAGCTGAGTGGTCTTTAGTCCGGAGGACACAGTGTCCATGATTTCCAAAAAGAACTTCAAATGTTGATTTGTCGGACCACAGGACACTTTTCCACTTCCCCTCAGTCCATTTAAATGAGCTCGGGCCCCGGTTTCTTCCTTGCATTTTAGAGTTTTAACTTGCATTTGTGGATGCACAACTGTTTTCACAGACAGTGGTTTTCAGAAGTGTTTCTTAGCCCATGCAGTGATTTCCACTATAGAATCATATCTGTTTTTAATGCAGTGCCACCTAAAGGCCCAAAGATCACAGCCAGCAAATACTGGTTTTTGGCTTTGTCCCTTGCATACAGAGATTTCTCTGGATTCTCTGAATCTTTTAGTGTTATTCTCAAGTTCTTTGCTATTTTATGTTGAGAAACGTTATTCTTGAATTCTTGCACTATTTGCCTGTGCAGTTTTTCACAGAGTGCTGAATCCCTCCCCATCTTTACTTCTGAAAGACTCAGCCTCTCTGGGATGCTTTTTTATACCCAATCATGTCACTGACCTGTCGCCAATCAACCACCAGGTGTTTTTTTTTTAGCACTACACAACTTTACCAGTCTTTTGTTGTCCCATGCCAACTTTTTTGTAACGTGGCGTTGGCATCAAATTCAAAATGGGCAAATATTTTTCAAAAACTAATATAATTTCTCAGTTTCAACATTTGATAATTGGGTTTATCAAATTGGGTTTAAATGATTTGCACATCATTGAATTTAGTTTGTATTTAGATTTTGCACAGCATCCCAACTTCTTTGGAAATGGGGTTGTAAATACAGCTCACACTGTAAGCAACACTTAACACTGCAGTGATCTAATGTATCTCTTACATACAGCAGACTTCTGGGAGAAAAATCCTCTTGTCAAAGAAGTTGAAGTGTTGAATTTTACAGTAATGGACTGTTAATTGAAAAGGATGCTGGGAAAGTGGCCAGTACTTGTTCATATTTTCTTCTACAGTTTTATTCACACATTCACAGCCGTGTATATTCAGAGTATTTACTGAGATTAATGATCACACTCACCTGATACAGTCAGTGCAACAGCATCACTGGTGTGTGAGTAGCGTGATGTTCCTCTCTCTGTTCCTCTACAGGTGTATTTTCCTCTGTGAGACTCTGTAACAGAGCTGATTCTGTACTGCTCTTCATAACTGACAGGAGTGGATGAATCATCTTTAAACCAGCTGTACTGCCAGTTAGAGACTCCTTCTCCCTGTATGTCACATCTGAGAGTGACAGTCTCTCCTATAAACACCTGTTCATCAGGCTGTATGGACGCCACAGCTTTTGGTCTCTCTGTGGAATTAAAATAAAACATTTTCAGAACCATTAATTCTGCAGTAATTGTTTACATCGTCTATGTAGACTATAAAGAATGATCATTTTTCAGTAGTAGCTCACAGAATACACCTCCACACTTTGATTACTTAAAGATTATATGCAGAATACTGATTATAAAATATTAAAAAGCGCCTTTTGAGTTAAGGACACAAAAACATACACTGTGATAAAACATTATTATGTGTCAGTACTAATAAGCCAAATTGAAGACATTAAATAATATACACGATATACATGATATATACAGAAACAAATAGTCCCCCAGTTTTTCACTCATTCACTTGTGAGTGACTGGTATAAATGTATTGCAGTAATGCACCATTCTGTCTGGTTTCTGGTGTAAAACAAGCTTATGTTGGCCTAATCTGTTGATAATTGTTGATCAATGATATACGTCACATATGGTAGGGGTAGATACTCAAATATCACTATGCTGAAACTTTCACATGTTTAAAGGAACATTGGACATCGATGTAATAACATGTATGTATGTATGTAATGTAACATAAGTACAGTTTTGAAACGTCATTCACTCCCAAGACCATACAGTCTATACTGTCCATTCAGTCCATATATAAAACCTAAGCTGCAAAAGGAGAAGCCTTTGAAGTTATTGCTTTTATGATTTTTTTTCAACACATTCCCATGTATCCACTTATTCAGCGTCCATTCATATTATATGAATTCAAGCAGTTTTCTGAATGAAACGTGGCTGTAAGTCAGTATTATGCATTTCCGAATCAGTTTAACGACTGACATTTTTTAGATGTACTTGGTTGTGATTTATTCTGTCTTTCAGGGGTGAGAAAGGGTTGGTTTCATCACATTTTGACTATCACTTCTTGAGAAATCAAGGAGAGAATGTTGAATATCCAGCAGGCATCCAATATAAAACCAAGTTTACTGCACTGTCTGTAATGCAAAAGGGATTGTGGACATTGAAGCACGTTTGGCAATCAGGCATTAATAAAAGAAGTGTAACTAGGTAACCAGTAAAATAGGAATGGGACCTATAAATACCAAAATACTGATACTTCCAATCCTGATGTTTCTTTTTGAGAATCTGTTCTTACATGACAAAATGGATACTAGGTGTTTTCTTTAAGCAGTAAACTGAATATACATCAGTATTATTGAAATGATGGTGGGGAAAGAAATCATAGCAATTTAATGTGTAGAATGGGAACTACTTTTCCTTCTGCCTTCTCCCTCTGCTTCTCTCACTCATAGGCACAGACAGCCATATGAGATGCAGTAAAAGCTCTATAGTTATTTACCTAAATATATATATATTTTTAATAATAATGAAAGGGCTTTCAAATGTACTTTATAATGTCCCCTTTTACTGGTTTTCATTCCTAAATAACAAAGTATTCTCTCGTGTAAAAGTATCAGTATTGTTATCGCTTTGTATCGGATTAAAAAGAAATTGTGACATCCCCAATCCCTTGAGTAAAACTAGTTAGAGCCCCCCCCGCTGGATGTTTACAGACATTTGGATATTTACAGCTTCCTGTGCATTTTTCACAAACTGTTGTAATCACATGCAGATCTATTTGGACTTTCTTACATACATGACAGTCAAAGCAGTATTTAGTGTTGATATAAAAACTACATACACTACATACATACATACATCATCTAAACCGCTTATCCTTCTGGGTCGCGGTGGGGTGCTGGAGCCTATCCCAGCTGTCATTGGGCGGAAGGCAGGATACACCCTGGACAGGTCGCCAGTCCATCGCAACCAAAACTATTTCGTTTTTAAGGAATGATTAACACTGTTCTCATACTATTCCCTCCTAATTATTGAGTTAAGGTGTTTCAGCCACTGCTAACAGTATGTATAAAATCAAGCACACATACAATCTATATAGGCACAAGAACACAAGAACTGTGTGTCGAAAACATCATGAAATGAGTTTTCAAGCAGCTACAGAACAGCCTAAGAGTAAAATGCCCAATACCAGGGGTCAGCTGGAGTAGTGTAAAGCACACTGCTACTGGACTCTGGAGCAGTGGATAAAGTTCTCTGGAGTGATAAATTACACTTCACTACCTGAAAGTCTGACTGAGTCTGGGTTTGGCAGGTCCCAGGAGAACACTACCTGTTGAATGCATAGTGCCAACAGCAAAGTTTGGCAGAGGAGGGATAATGGTCTGGGGCTGTTTTTCAGGGTTTGGGCCTCTTATAGTACCAGTGAAGGGTGATGTTAATGCTACAGTGTACAAAGACATTTTAGACAATTATATGCTTTCAATTTCGTGGGAACAGTTTGGGGAAGACCCTTTCCTGTTCCAGCATGACTGCACTTGTGAACAGCGTGAACTCCATAAAGACATGACTTGATGAGTTTAGAGTGGAGGAACTGCAGTGGCCTGACCTCAACCCCACTGAACACCTTTGGATTGAATTGGAACGTTGATTGTGAGCCAAGTTTTCTCAGTTATAATCAGAGTCTGATCTCAGAAATGCTCTTTTGAGACACACTCCACAATCTTGTGGAAAGGCTTCCCAGAAGAGTGGAGGCCGTTATAGCCGCAAAGCAGGGCAAAATCATATTAGTGCCCACGGTTTTGGAATGGGATGTCCAAGAAGCTCATAGGTGTGATGCTGTGTAGTGTATGTAAATATTTTGTTATTCTGCTTTCAAAGGGTTCTTAGTGGCCCTTTCTATACTGTCTACATAGCAATGACTGTCACATAGTGCAAAGTGTAGTTGTCGTGTGACATTTTTCATACAATGAATGATATTTTTCAATGATAAATATAAAATATAATGCACAGAAGATTAGCAGCTAATTTACACATGCAGTCACCATCCTCAGAATAATTTGCAGTCTTGGTAAATTACACTGTGCTAAATTCATCTGTTTGCATTGACACTGCACTATATTTTATTTTGCATGCTTAGAAAGAAATGCCCCAAAGTACATGAATGCATGCACGATAAACATGATGAAGATAAACAAACTCACCTGACAAAGACAGTTTAACAGGATCGCTGGATCTTGTGGTTCCCTTGCAGGTAAATTCTGTGCTGTAATCTGCAGTCATCTGAAACGTGTATTCACTTCGTTCTTCAGAGCGATGAACTTCGTTCCCATTGTTATACCAGCTATAAGTCCACATACGACCTTCTCCCCCCGGGATTTCACATTTTAGAGTGACAGTCTCTCCTATATTTATTTCTTTTCGGCCTGGAGGGTCTTTAATTATAACTGCTGGCTTATCTGTGACAACAACAAACATTTATCCTTAAAGGAAAGACATCAGATCTACACTGATCAACTAAACATCATAGAAACTTTGATAAGCTTAATTTACATATTATACTGATTTCAAACATGCAATTTTACATGTGAGCCAAATTTCACAGCCATCTATTAAAACAAAGATTTAAATTCTGAATGTATATGAATTTAAATTGAAAATGTATGTGAATACATGTGAGTGATTCACCTTGAGTTTGTCCACTGTGGATGAGGACAATCAGCACTAAAGGAGGGAAACAGAGGATATGATGCATTAATATGAAATATTAACAGGTAGAATTAATGAGTCTGAATGGGTCGTGCAGAGCTGGAGCTGGAGATTTAGTTCAACTCAGTCAGTCCTAGACACACAGTCCTGAACTAAATACTACAGACAGTAGATAGCCCTGAAGGGTAAGATGGGAAAAAAAATGTGTTCCTAAGATCTGTATTATTTTTTCTTCCTGGATAACTGGATAACAAAAAACACTAAACATATATATTTCTATTTCCTGCATGACTTGTACAACTACAACCATTAAAAACCAATTTTTTTCCCCCTCCCACATAATTTCTTTCCACTGTTGTTTAAAAAAACAAAACAAACAAAACAAAAAAAACTGTCTAAAACGTAGCATGTTACACCAGCTTTGACAGCGAGGGACCAGATCATAAAAACATCACTAGGGTGTGCTAAGAGGCTTATAAGTATGTGTACTGCATGTATGCATGCAGTTAAGTACTTCCTGTTTAAAAAACGTCTTTGAGGTGTATGTTGAAAACATTTCTAAAACTTGGCAGGTATGGGCCAAAATAGTACTAGAAATAAACATGGCTTCCACCCCACAGGAGCAGCCTACAAGTAGCCTAGAATGCTGTAATGTCACGTTCCTGGGTTGGAAGAGCAATTGTAGGGATGGGGTATGGTGTTGGGACTCCCCTTTAAACGATCAGTTTCTGGGGTGGGGTCAAGGGATATCCCCCTTACAAGCTATGGTGTCCTGGGTGGAAGGGAGGGGGTGTTGTCGACCGTTACCCCGTTAAAAAAGATTGTGTTCAGCTTATTCTACCATCCACGGTTTTGGGGGAGGCGCCCCCAGCATCAAACTACGTTTGTAATATATACGCTAGTTAGTCCTACCCCACTTCATAGCCTTGAGGTCTTTCAAGTGAACGGGTGAAGATTTTCCGTAGGGGTTGTTGTGGGGTGCTCCTGTGAGGTGGAAGGCATGTTTCTGTCTGCATTAACGATAATTGCCTGGCCTGTGAGGTTCACTGCATTCAGCCTTCCACAGTGAAACACTGAATAGACTTCATCAGTAGAACAGTATTAAATACTATTTAATTTTTTTAAATAGTGTTATTTTGGCCCATGCACATGTTAACGAGGGTATTAATTATCTAGATACTGTTAAGATTTCGTGCTGACTCAGTCAGCGACGCACTGCCTGCATCCATACGGAGTCTCACACATTGAAAACACAAGATGGCGCTGGTGCCTTGATGACATCAAAGGCAAGTGTGTATATTTATTTATACAACAGTTAGTTCCGCCCACGCAAGCTGATTGAGAAGCGTTCTAACCGTGCTGTTATTTCGCCATAACATCACAGGGTTTTTCACAAACACTGTATGCTGAGACACCGTTGCTAAGCAACACCTTTGACAGCTGTAGGAGATGCTCAAGCCATTTGAACATTTTTCTTATTACTTTCCGCACAAACACAAAATGGATACTTTTAAGGTCACATTTGACCGACAGCCGATTTGGTCAGACTCTGAAGATGAGACTACACTAAATTCCCAAACTGTCAGTTGGTCTGGGAGGAGCTTGAGAATGAACTGCCGGCTGTGCAGCGAGCGAGCGGAGTTCATTACTGTGATGTACTCATTTTAAAGTCCCCTTACTGTCCTGTTTCTAAACCCTGCCCCTCCCACCAGTCGCACGCATACTATCCCTGTCTATGAACAAACTGAAATGAAGGCAGAGCAGTAGCAATAATATCCCACTATAACTTTCATAATTACAAAGATTCTGTCTTCCGGTCACTCCAGCACCCATCATTCGATTTCACTCACTCAGATTTTGAGTCTTTGAATTTGCCTCAGTGAGCTGGAATTGCTGGTGGTTTAGCCTTAACATGAGCCTCTGGTGTTACAAGGATATAAACAAAAAATAGCTTAAGCTAACAGCTCCACACACAAAAACACATATTTTCTTGCTCAGATTTGAGTCTTTATTTTCTAAACTTGTGTCAGTGAGCTGTCATGTGTTGCGGTGAAACTGCTGCATGCTAAGCTATTAGCAAAGCTACCACTTTGTAGCTCTTGTCAGGGCCTGTCATGTCTTCTCACCATATTTGGTATATTGGGCTGTTTAAGCACAGCCATACAAACTAAGCTGCTGTGTAGAGCCCCACAATTTTTTTTTTCAGAAGAACAAAGAATGAAATCATGTGAACACTGTGCTGTAGTAACATAACTGATACAAATATCAGTTTATATAACCATAATAAGCCATCCAAGACCACTTTTTGAGTGCAAGGGGTCTTTTTATCCTCATGTAGAGCAAAAGCTTTTCATTCTTCATTGTTTCATCAACATAATCATTGGTAAAAGTAAGTCGACCGTAATACAAAATTGTTTTAATAAAATATATTTTTTAACACATTTTCTGGACACATTTGAATAAAGTGAATTAAGTAAATTTATTGCATCAATATGAGAGTGTCTACAACACAACAGCAGTACTGCAGTACTGACACTAATACATGATTAGAGTCTGATATATACTCTGTGATATGATCTGAATTAAAATGTATAATAAAACACATAAGCGACAGAGTATTGAAAATATAGCCAAAGACATAAATCAAGTGGAACATGGATTCACTAAAAGATGCCTTCATTCTGCAGTTAATTCTTAGAATTTTCATCAAAATACCTCATAACAATGCAGACTGGATGCTATGCTAATAATTTACTGTAATAAACATGTCAAAGGACTGAAACTGAAGCTCTGTGCACTCTGACTTCAGCATGAAAGAAAAGCTTGTGAACTATCTGGGCTTCATACAATTACTTAGTCACACAGAAGCTGATCACTCAGAACCCTCAGACTGAATATTAACAACTTCATACAGCAGCTCTCACTCTAATGAAGACATAAAGAGAACATTTACTCACAGAGTATTACAGAGAGTGACCTGAACTCCATACTGTCCCCGTAATGACTGACTGACTGAACAATGCTCTGTGTTCAACACTCATCACTTCCTGAGAGAGAGAAGAAATTTGCATATCAAATATGTAAATGAACACTATTTAAGTACTTTAAGACATGTTTCAAATATTCCTCTGACCCTCCAAGTTAAAAGTTAAGGACAGTAGAAATGACACCCCGTCAGTGATTTTACCAGTTTAACTGATTGTGGACACAGTTTTCAAAGGGATGAATCTCTTCACTTCAAATTACCTTCCGGATTCTTACAGTATCTGAGAGAAAACCAGCCAATGAAAGAAATTTGACCCACCAATTAGAGAGTTTGCAGTGAAGATTTTCACCTTTAAATGCATTTGCATATAACATGGCACCCATATGTTTCATATCAAAATGCTTTGTTATCTACTCATCTCCTACTTTTTAAATGTTCACAAAGTCTAATCAAGCAGTCACAGCAAAACAGACTGATGCTGGTCTGGAGATGTTCTTCCGGGTCACATCAGAGGGAAGAGAGCCCTGAACATCTTCCAAGATGGTGGCTTGGTGACCTCTTATATATTAGTGTGCCCCCCGTGTGGCCAATCACAGACCTGCACATCATAGGAAAACGAGGGAAAACACTGTAAATGGCCACAGAAAGACTCAGAAACACTAGTCTAATGCATCTGTGAAGTTAGTTAGATACAAAACTTGATAAATCCACTAAAATGATAATAAAAGTTGTATTCTGTTGAAACCACAGTAAGTTATAATGAATAAAATATGAAAACCTATCCTGAACCTGAGATTGAGTGTTCTGTCAAATCTGCTGTGCTACATGAAGTTTACTTAAAACCATCTATGACAAGCTGTAGTCTGATGGTTTTATCATCTTAAAACACGAGGCGCAAATGATCCCTTTCCCCAATTAAAACAATACGGAACTGAAAGAGTAAAAAAACATAGTTTATGCATCTCTCTTTCTTCTCCTTTTCTCACCTGAAAATATCGCTCTCAATCCACATCACTGCTAAAGAAGACAGCAGTCAGTCTAATGTTAACAGAATTTTGGCTATGGGAGCTAATCAGTGGGCTAGCTGATGTTGACACCACAGATGAAATAAAAGTACCATTATGTTGGAAAAATGTAATAATTTCCTGTTAGTTTTCAATGTTTTACATTGAAATCATGTAATGCACCTACTTATACACAAAATAAGCAGTTATTTCTACAGTCAAATTTTCAGGAAAGGTGAGGAAAAGATTTTTATTAAGTGAAATTAAGTGCTCTCAAACTTATTTTGGTAGAATATTCAGTAGCACTGTGTGACTAGAATCTGACCCAAGCATCTAATGTTCTTTGCAACAATAAACACATTACAAGTGCATAGAAAATTGAATGACAGTTTCTTTAGGGGGGAGTGAGAATTGCTGACTTTTGTTTGTGGTCAACAACAGTGTTGCATGGCCTACAAAATGGTTCCCACTTTGCTTGTATGTTGAACAGGAATTGGTTTGCCTTGCTTTTAGCTGAAATATTCATTGGCAGATGTGTTTATCTCTGCATTATCCATTGTTTCACTGTATAAGCACACAAGATGCATGCTCATAATAACTGTGAACGCACTTATGATTCACGGATACAATTAAAACTTTCAGAATCAATGCAGTGATTGAACAAAATTGCAAGCTCTTGAAAGTACTGCAAGAGCTGACTGAATGTGCATGAATTTGTTCCTGGAGGGGCTGGTTTCACTTCTGGGGTTGATGAGAGGTATAACTGACCCTGTCCCTCTGTGCTTGCTCTGGTTACAAGCTGGAGAGTGTATATGCATGATTTACTGCAAAGTGTGACACGTAAGTTGACAGTGAGCTTCCGCTGGACACCATCTCACTTTCAGAAGAGTTTTGAGGTTATTTGAGGTTTGCATTCCATTTCTTCTTTTCTGCTCCAATTTATTTATTTGTAATATAAATGAAATGCTGAGTTGAGGCCTGCTTTCTCACAGAGCCTCCTGCAGTGCATCTTTTTCTTCATTAGCTGAAGATGTTATTGCCACTGTTTAACTAGAAACAAAAGTCAAACCACAACGACCTAAATAATTCCTCTCTGCTCTAAAACCTCAGACATTCTACTTATAGACTGGGACCATGTGACCAGTAAGATGAAATCTAGTCTTTTCTGTGTGGTTGTGCTTCATCTGCAAACACAGGGTGCTGTGCCTCCACCTCCATAATCTCCATGATTACTGTGCTAGTTTGGCAGAAATAAAACAGCATTTTTTCTGTGGTAATAGTTTCCGGACATGTACTGCAGACAACAGCTCAGTATTATTGAACAGTGAGCTGTGATTATTATTATTTTCACTAGTTTTCTTATGTTCAGATTACATGGACAGGTGATAATTTATTATTTTACTGATGAAAGCTGAATATTGTAAATCTGGCTTTTGATTACAACAGTTTATGATTTTATATGTGGAGCAGAATTGACTTTATTGATGTTGCTTCATTGCTTCATCATCCCACAGTGTTTAAATGATGTGAACATGTGCATAACTGTTCAAACTTGCACTGTACTGTTTCTGAAATGAGAGAACACAAGGCCTTTTTTTTGCACCTCCTCCTCTGGTCACACTCAGAAAGCCTAAGTAGGAAATAGACAAACCACAATGTTACTGATGTTAACACCCATTCTAAGAAATTGACAGATGCAAAAACTGTTTGTTCAAGATATGAAGTTAAACATCGCCAGAATAATGTCAAATATAATGTTAACCATTATGTTATTGTCATAGGTCAACCTCAGGGGATAATGCTGGGTTGAGGGTGGTGGTGGTGGTTGTGGTGGGGGATGTTTATGAAGAGTAGTTCTTCTTACTTTTTTAGGTATCACATATTCTGTGAACAGAGTGCAACTTATTATTTGTTTTATAGAACACAGTTCTATATATTTTTTATTCTATAATTAGTTCTGTTTCTAGTAAAATACATAGTGACCTAACACAGCCCTCTTCCACTATAGGAAATGACAGATTATTGACACTTCTTGAGATGTTAGTTGTTTAGCCAGCATTTTATTCCCCTAACAAAATGATCAAATTACCAAAGACAACATGTAAGATATCAGACATGTTACCATCACATTAGCACCACTGTTAGCAACAGTGCTGGCAATGTAAACCCACTTTACGCAGCTTCTGACACACAGTTCTTGAACTGTATTGCTTCCAGAGGCAGGTTGGAGCTCAGTGGTGGGTGATGTGCATTGTGGTTGAGCTGTTGTTGCTCCTACATGCTTCCATGTTACAATAATAGCACTTACAGTTGACTGGGACAGATCTGTTATGGCAGAAACTTCACAAATTAGTGATAAACATGGCATCCTGTGACTGTCTGATTTGCATGTTACCATTGTTAATTTGGCTATAAATGTGGTGATAAGTAAGAGTAAAGTAGAGCCTCTGGCTGTTTCACTACCGGTTTTTGCATTTAAAGTTATTGAGCTCTTCAGTACAACCCATTCTACTGCAAGTGTTTGTCTATGGAGATTGCATTGCAATTTACACACCTGTTAGCAAAGGGTGTGGCTCAAACACCTGAACTCAGTAACTAGGAGAGGTTCCACATAACTTTGGCCTTCACTTATCTCTCTGGTAGGATTAACGTCTTTGTTCTGTGGTAAGTCGCAACATTTCTGCTTGTGCTTCTCACAGTCTTAGCTGGGCGGTGTAGTGGGCTTTGGGCGGCTAACGTGCGTGGTCTGAGCTCTGGCATTTTCACTATTTCCTGGCATGTCCACGGCCGGTGTCCAGAGTTTTTGAGTCGTGCTGTGCAGTTTTGTTTTTTTACGCTCTGGCAAATACTCACGGACTGAACTTAAACGCCTCGACTGTCATGCCCGCTTGGATTCTGCGTCATATAATCTCTGCCGGACACTTGGAATTGCTCGAGGTCCACGGTACATTCACCGTTCAAAAAGAGGACCCTCGTTTAGTTATGGCTGTGATGGCTCTGATGCGCGGATCCCGACTATGTGGACATATAATCGTGCTCGCCGGCGTGACACCAAAGCCAACCGTGGAGTAAAACATGGCCATCTTCGTCCACTTTCAAAACTGGTTGAAACGTCCCTTCCCAACGGTTGCTGCTTTAACCTCTCCCATCTTAACGCACGATCCATAACCAATAAAGCTTCGTTAATCAATGACCTCATCACCGAGTTTTTCTCTCGTAAACTTGGCAACAACCTGGTGACTACTTACATTTAAACATGCTGACACCCCCAGGCTACAGTTATCTATCAAAACCCCGACTGAAAGGGAGAGGAGGTGGTCTGTCTGTGGTTTATCATTCTGGTTTAACGGTCGAAGAACTTGCACTATTCAATACTACATCCTTTGAATATATTGCTTTGAAGGTTGTTTCCTCCTCACCTCTACTGTTGCTGTTAGTTTATCGCCCTCCCAAACCTGCTGCAAGCTTCTTGTCTGAACTTAATGAATTCCTCACAATCATCTCAACTCTTTGCTCTGCCGTAATTGTGATGGTGACTTCAATATCCATGTTGATACTGAATGCTCTTTCACATCTGAGTTCATTTCAGTTTTAGAGTGTTTTAACTTGATGCAGCATGTTGATTTTCCAACTCACACTCATGGCCATATTCTTGATCTGCTCTGTTCTACTGGTTTGAATGATATCATTGTCTCTGGTTCAGTCTCTGGTATCTCTGACCATAAGCTCATTGAATGTAGTCCCCCCCCCCGAGAAAATCCCTGTTGTCCATCGTGATATTAGGTCTGCCAGTCTCAATCTGTTTGCTGCTTCTCTTCAGTCTTCAGCCCTGTCTGACCTACATAACCTATCATCTCCTGAAAGTATGGTTTCCCTTTATAATGACACTGTCTCTGGATTGCTTAATGATTTTAGCCCCTTTTAAGAATAGACTTGTCCCTGCCACCCGCTCGTGTCCTTGGTTCACCCGTGAACTAAGGGTACTGAAGGCCATTGGGCGACGTCTTGAGCGCCTTTATAAAAAAAACTGGCCTTAGTGTCCACTCTCTACTTTAGTCAACACATCCACAAGTATTGGGATGCCCTTAATACAGCCTGCTCCAACTACTACTCCTCCATCATAAATAATGCTAAGTCTAGGCCGAAATCACTCTTTCAAACTGTTAACAAACTCCTCCATCCTCCTCTGTCAGCGTGCCCCCATTCAGCTGAGCAATGTCAGGCTTTTCTACATTCCTTTGAAAAGAAAATTAATCAGATCTATAGTTTCTTTCCTACTACTTCTCAGTCATTCGCCTTTACTGATTTTCCCACTTTGGACACGAAGCTAACTTGTTTCTCACCTGTTGACTCCTTTTCTGTCTCTGAACTCATCACTAAGTCTAATGCTTCCTCCTGTCAGCTTGACCCTGCCCCCACCCCTCTACTCAAGGCCTGTTCATCTGTAATCAACACTCCAATTGCTACAGTGATAAACTGATGTCTCTCTTCTGGTTTGGTTCCTACTGCCCTTAAAACTGCTGCAGTTATCCTATACTTAAGAAACCTGAATTGGAACCGACTTCTCTTTCTAATTACAGACCCATCTCACACCTTCCATTTTTAGCTAAAGTAATGGAAAGAGTGGTTGCTTCCCAACTCCAGACATTTCTCAGTGATAATGCCCTCTATGAGCCATTTCAATCTGGTTTCCGTACTCACCACAGCACTGAAACAGCTCTTCTGCGAGTAGTTAATGATCTCTGGTCTGCTGATAGTGGTTCTCTCAGTATTCTTCTTCTCCTCGACTTAAGTGCAGCATTCGATACTGTTAATCATGATGTTTTCATTTCTCATCTTTTCTCTATTGGTATCACTGACACAGCCTTACAGTGGTTCAGGTCGTATCTTACAGACAGATAGCAGTTTATCACACTAGGCCCATACAAGTCCTCCACCTCTCCTGTTACATATGGTGTCCCTCAGGGCTCAGTTCTTGGACCCCTACTTTTCTTAATCTAATCTCATCCCTTGGCCAGATCATTCGTAGCCATGGCCTTAACTTTCACTGTTATGCTGATGATATTCAGTTATATCTCAGTACACACACACCCTCAGATTCCCCTCTCAATACACTAATTGATTGTATTTCTGATTTAAAGCTCTGGATACACAATAACTTTCTCACGCTGATTGGCCTTAAACCTTTACTATCAAAATCATCCAATTTTTCAGTTAGTATTGATGGCCTGCTCATTAAGCCTGCACCCGTTGTTAGAAATCTTGGTGTTTTACTCGACCCATCACTTACATTTGATCTGCATATTAAGTTTCTCACTAAGACTGCATTCTTTCATTTACGTAACATTGCTCGTCTTCGCCCGTTCCTGACCGATAGTGATGCAAAAACTTTGTGCCTTCATTATGTCCCGTATTGACTACTGTAACTCCCTCTTTGTTGGTCTCCCCGTGAAGTCTATACAAAAGCTACAGTACGTTCAGAACTCTGCAGCTAGAGTTCTCACTCATATTAAGCGTTCAGCTCACATCACCCCCATTCTCTTTCAGCTACACTGGCTACTGGTCCCGTCATGTATAAAGTTTAAAATTTAACTACCACTCAAAGCCCTGCTTAACCTTGCTCCCCCCTACCTCAGAGAACTGCTGACCTCTTACACTCCCTCTCGCTCTCTCAGGTCTTCTTGTAATAACCTACTTGCTGTCCCACGCACCAGACTTTCCACTTTAGGAGGGAGGTCCTTCAGTGCCATGGTCCCCAAACTCTGGAATTCTCTTCCTCAATCCCTCAGGGACTGCTCTTCTTTCTCCTCCTTCAAATCTGACTTAAAGACTTTTCTCTTTAATCAGCATTTTTCTTCCTCCTTCAATGCTTAGGATGGTTTGTTTGTTTGCCCATGCTATGTGAAGCGACCTTGGGTTTGTGAAAGGCGCTATATAAATGTAACATTATTATTATTATTATTATTATTATTAACAGAATAACATTAAAATAAAACACTCCTGTGAAATCTCCTCGTGAGGTAATTGGCTAGCAAACTTTTCAATGCAAAATATCTTTGAGTAGTTTGAACATAATGCACATAAAATTTGTGAAGATTTGTTTACTTGTCTATAAACTTTGGTGTAGAGATGTGGTGTAGTGCCTTTTTTTTCTTGTCATGTATCCTTTAGCATGTGAATTAGCCAGCTGGCTAAGTAAAATGATGAAGCTCTATCAGCTGTCATATATAAACATAAAGAGTATTTTATTTATTATGGGCAAGTTCTGCTGCTGAAGTCGACACTTGTGTTACTCTGTCCTTTCGAAGCCACATTGAACACCCTTCATTTGAGCTAGTATGATAAATATGGCCAAGTGGACACAGACGTGCTAAAACTGGTAGTGAAACAGCCTTTTTTCCTTTTATTTATGACCACATTTACAATTATTAATGCATGATAAATTGTTATTAATTATTAATATAACATTAACATGCAGATCAAACAATGGATTTCAATGACAGACAATGTAAACACATTTCTAGTAGAAGTTCTAATGTAAGGTCTAACTAAGAACTCTACATCATATTTATCTATCCAGACCTTCTGTTTTACTTTATTATAAGATTTAAGGATTATGGAAAAAAGAGGTACAGCCCTCTTCTCAGCTACATGCTTTAAAAATCATATCTGAAACTGTGGATTCCACAGCCAAGTCTCTCACCTCCCAGCCTTAAAGTCCCCCAAGAACATGCTTGAAAAAGCATATATAATTACGTATATACTGCCACCTAGTGTTTGTCCCGTGTGGTGCATGCGCCTACGTATTTCAACAAAGGGGATCAGTGAGCATCATGCTGAGGACTCTGTGAGAGACATTCACCCCTATGCCCAATGCAATATAATAATAATAATAATAATAATACAAACAAACAGACATTGTAGCCTCTCTCATTCATTTCCGGAATTGCACACACTGCTTATTTAGTACAAAAGCTATTATACAAAGGGTTTCCAACTCCACTGGTCAGTTCAGTTGGTCAGTTTCTTCCACACACTCTTTAGACTTCCTAATTAGTAAGTTAGTCTGAGTGTTTTGTGTGTATGGATTACATTATTCATGAAGAGAAATGCAGCCCTAAAAACTGGCAACTAACCAAAGTTAATTTTCTCCATATTAACACAAAAAGGCATTAAATAGCTCAAGCTGGCAACCCAGAACATATGGTACTGAAGTGCCTCTACAGTCCTGTTCCTGGAGATCTACCACCTGTAGAGTTTGATAGAAGAGCTTCAGCCTTGAGAAGTGGGTCTAACACAGCTGCTGGGAGTATGAACCACATCTAGGGTATAAATTAGTGATTGTGTGGTGAGAAAACAGATGATTTTATGTTCAGCATTCCTCTGAGACAGGAGTGCTTCAAAATGACTACCATCATTCCCGTGCCAAAGAAATCATTTGTGTCTTGCCTCAATGACTACCGACCCATAGTGCTTACTCTGGTCATCGTAAAGTGCTTAGAGCGGTTGGTAATGATTCACATAAGGAGCTGTCTTCCTTCCACACTGGTACAAGAATCAGGACACTCATAATTATGATGTGTACATTCAGAGTAGATGTATGAACAGAACATGGAAGGAACTGCAGTTTATTGTTCTCATTAAAATGTATTGAACACAAGAAGTAGACAGAACAGAATTACACTTCAGTTATGTTTAGCTTTTGAACAAAAGGAGCTATGATTGAAGAAAGAATATTAATCAGTGAATCAAAAGGAAAACTTTTTTTTTTTTAAAAAAGTAGAAGAAAATAGTTTAAAAAACTAAACAAAAATCTAAAAATACACAAAGTTATAAAAATGAAATAAAACAAAATAATAAAATTGAAGTGTATGCAAGGCAACATTTTTGTCACTTTTAAATTAATGATTTGAACTTTAAGGCTGAGTCAGGAACTAAAACATGTAAACCACAGGCATCTCATTACTGACACCTACTGACCAAGAGCATAAATGAATCTGTGTTTTATTGAGCAGCTAATGCTGACCTGCCAAGTGTAGTTATATATAACTGGATCAACATCATGCAACAAACACTGGACAACATATATCATATAATCATGATCATAATCCTCTGACTGACTCTCATCAACATGCTCCAGCTTCTATCACTGCTCACACTGTGTTCAGCTCATCAGGTTCAGCTGATCAGATTTAGCTGTGAAGTACACAAAAATAAACATTTTAGCCCTTAATCAAATGTTGTTATTTAATTTCAGGCCAATAAAAAACTGTGTTCTTACCTCGAGCTCTGTAGCATTTGACCATCAGCACGATGGACACCAGCAGATACGGAGACACTGCCATTAAACTACTGAGCAGACTGAACACTGAGAATGAAGCTCCTGAATTAGACACACCTGATACACAATAAAGTCATTGCTGTAACTGTTGGAAGCATGTCAGTAAAAAATAAAAGAGATAGTTAGATAGCACTGAACCAGAAAGTGAGCAGGTACAGTAATGAGAACTCAGAGAACTCTATCAGTGACAGATATCAGATAGTGTGTTATAGTGAGATGAATACAGAGTGTTCTGGAGTGTCTTTGTTTCACTATTACTGGTTTCTTATTAGTGCTAAGAATCATGTAGACTCACTGTGCACTGTGATGTTGACAGCATTACTGCTCTCTCCAGATTCAGACTCACACCAGTACACTCCAGTGTGGGATGTGCTGAGGGAGTTGATGTTGCATGTAGATCCTGTAACTGATCCCCAGCCTGATGAACAATCTGACACCTTCTCACTGTGTGTGTATCGTCTCACTCTCCATCCAGCAGAGTCACTCTGTCCCTCACAGCTCAGTGAGAGAGAGTCAGTAATAAAGTGTTGAGTTCTGCTGGGACTGACCCTCAGAAAGACTGCAAAAGATGGAAAATGTAGACATAGGACCATATATATGTGGTAGGGCGAAGTATTTGAAAACCTTTTATTATGATAGGTGTAATATTCCTTTGGAGGCTTTTATTGTTCTCCCCCTAGTAATTGGTTGCAGGTGTCTAATTCGTTGAATGCCATTTCTTTGTTGGCCTTTGGTGCTGTTTATTGTGACCTGCTAAGACAGCAGTTGAATCTCTCTGTATTTTTGTTGGTGCTGTGGACAGCTTAAGTTGTTGGGTAGTAAAGTGTTACTCCTTTCCTCTTTATTGAGTAGGCCCTAATCTTATCCTACAGGAGGTGTTTGTTCCGGTGGGCCTATACTTGACCCTAGATTAGTTGGCTACTTTGTGGTGAAGGCCCGCATGGTTATGCTGTATACCACTGATTGAGGGTTCGGAGGTGCTGTTTCCTGAATAACTTAATAAAGATACCCCTGTAATAAAGGGTCTCCAGTCATCCTTTTTTTCTTTGCTTTACTCTGTGATTGGAGTGTGCGTTTGGCGTGACACCTAACTTATGAGATGGTAGAGCTTTTAATCCTCCCCCCACAGGCAGTCACCTACACTTGAGCCCTGTCCTTAACTTAGGTTAGTGTTTTTTTTTTTTCCTTTTTTATTAAAGGAATAAAGTTGATTTTATTTTTTATAAGGTTATACATTTCCATTGTTGATGTTTAAAGCAGGACATACAGTGCTGTGGGATTTTAAGCTTGAAGAAAAACATTATATCTTATGTCCTTCGGTTTAAATAACTGATTTTGTCCTTTTGAAAGGTATATTTGTGTACTGTCAAAATAAATTTGATCTTTTATTTTGAGATGCACATCCTTACTCCATATTTAAATATATAAATAAATAAATAATTTGTGGTACAAACGTATCTTAGAGCATTGCCTTGCACTCTTCTGGTCATATATTGCACATGCTCAAGGTCGACACTAAGCTGCAGGTTTTGTGTGTCTGACTTCATGAATAGATAGTTTAGGGTGTGGCATTGGTGAGGCATAAAAGCAGGGGAGGAGCCAATGCAAGTTAACCTGAGCTGCTGAGAAAAACTGCATGTTTCTAATGTCAAGGAAAAGGTGGTGCCATTACTTTGAAAATTCATACTGCACTTTATTATTTTGTAAGGTGAAGTTCCTTTTCACCATCTCTGGGTCTCCTTGGCCTTAGCTGTGCGATTTTAGTTAATACGCAGCTAATAAGCAACAAGTTATATTATGCTGTTTATACACTGGTTCAGCATAAAATCCTGTTAAATGTACTACTTTTATAAGACATTCACATTTAGATTTTAGTCAAAAAGTTCTCTAAAATATATTAGGACATAATTACATAGAGTATGTCGGTCTTTTTGAGACATGATGTACGTTATATTGTGTGTTAGCAGAGACCTCTCATGATGCATTAATGCATTTGTTTTGTGTAATGTAGTTGTTTTGTGTAATATAGTTATTCTATCTATATAGCACCTAAAAGGGGCCTGCTATTGTTACGATGTGACGCTTGTACCAATAGAAGCTCCTTTTTGGTGCTATGTAGAAAGCAGCCATAGTAGTGCAAAAATAGACAGGCTTTTAAAAGAGCACAGTCAGTATTTACAATTGGCCTTGATAAATTGTAGTAGAAGATTCATTATATCATCTCCTTTGTTATTTGAAAGGGAAACTCTTAGAAATGCATATGCAATAATGCTTAAGAATGCTAAAGTATGTATTTGATGTATTTACAATGTCATAACCAATAATGCACAAGTGAGCTGTTCAGGGATATAATGGATCCATTAGTCTAGTTCTGGGTAAAGCTGGTTATGTTGGTATAGATAGTATAATTTAGCAGAAGCTCACCCTTTACAGTGAGTGTAACAGATTCACTGTACTGTGATGATGTTGGTCTGTATCGTCTCTCTCCTCTACACTGATACTGATCTCCATTAATCACAGCATCTTCTCTGATGGTGAGAGTGTCTCTGTTTACAGTGCAATTCGCAGACTGAGGCACTGCAGTCCATCCACTCTGTTTATTCTGTTTATGCCACTGATATGTCCATCCAGCATGAGTGTTAATCTCACACTTCAGAGTGACTGACTCTCCAGTGGACAAAGGTCTCTCTGGTTCTACAGTCAGTGTAGCTCTAGGTAAAGCTGTAGAAACAGAGGAGAGGAGACATAATAACTCAGAGTATATTTTACAATCAGAGACTAAACGACACTTCTGAAGGCTTTGTATTCATATTTTAACACTTTACCATCAACTGTTTTTACTAAAATGGAGCTGACCATTAAAATAATGACACATCCGCATTAGTCTGCACATGGAGTCTCATCTACACCACTAAATGTGTTACAAAAAAGATCTACAGTTCTTCATTATATTGACCGAAGCATTTAAATGTGGATCGAAATGCTGTTGGCAATATAAAAAGGCATAAAAACAGAAATGATACTGTGCTCACCCTTTACAGTGAGCAAAACAGTGTTACTGTACTGTGATGATGTTGGTCTGTCACTTTGCTCTCCTCTACAGCGATATTGATCCCCATCCAACACAGCATCTTCTGTGATAGTGAGTGCACTCATGTTTTCACTGTAATACTCAGACTGAGATACTGCAGTCCATCCATGCCATTTATCCTGCTTATTCCATTGATATGTCCATGATATGTTGATATGTTCTATTTCACACTTGAGGGTGACTGACTCTCCAGAGAACACTGCACTCGCTGGTTCTGCAGTCAGTGTAGCTCTGGGTAGATCTAAAGAAAACGGGAAAAACACAGAGTAGTTCAAGTCAGTTCCATTACACATGATATCGACTTCTACAGTGTTTCTTTAAGTCCATTGGTCTCAGATTCATTTTTGGTTTGGATTAAACAGACGGTTAGCCTCGTTTTCAGGTTAGCTTGTCAGAAAATTCATGCCATAGTCATCTAAATGTTAGCATTTGATTGTTGCCTCCAAACTTGGGGACTGAACATGATGGCCTACATAGTAAACAGTTCCATATAGACCTGCATTGTCTCAGCTTTAGCACTTGTATAAATATGTCACATTTTACTGTGTAACTGCTAAGGGCTAGGGGCTACTGACAGGCTTTTGTCCATCAGACAGGGTCCTTGGACAGTCTTTACCTTGCTTTGAGCTATGTCTTTACATTGGTTGGATCGGTTTAGAAACTTCATAATCAATTTGTTCCCACTCACATTTAGACACTTTGTGTTTAAATATTTCTACCATACTCTGTATGTCACCTTCACCTTGCTTTTCATAGTGTGCTTTGCATTTCCCAAAACTACTGGATTGAGAGTGCACTGTGGTAATATGTAACTGCAAACCAGAATGACTCACTGTAGTTGGCCAGAAGTCTTCTAGTCATTATGGTATTAACTTTCTTCTGCTATATTTAGGGATCATAGTAATACTTCTTAGTGATTTAATTTAGCTACACTTTACATTAGTGCTTTGACATAAGTATCTCATGATCAAGTTGATATATTTAACTTTTTATACTGATTAGACGTCCGCCCTATGACCACTGGGATAGGGTCCAACTCCCCCCACGACCCAGAAGGATAAGCAGCTTAGAAAGTGTGTGTGTGTGTGTGTGTGTGTGTGTGTGTGTGTGTGTGTACACTGTTTAGAGAAATTAAGACAGTGTCTGTAGTCACTGGGTATGAATTGTTGTTTTTCTTCTAACATTACAGTATTTTTTATCTGTAAAGCTGCTGGAAAGTAGAATGTTCTCCAAAGAAACAAAATCACCTGATACAGACAGTTTAATAGGATCACTGGTTCATGTGCTCTTTGGGATGCCTTGGATCCATGTTCCCATGCAGCTAAATTCACCCTTTCCCATTTCTTTTGCCTCAAACGTGTATTCACTTTGCTTTTTAGAGGGCTGAACTTCTTTTATGTTCTTAGAACAATCCACTCACTGTTGTTTTCCCGTCTCTAGTTCACATTTAAGAGTTACTCTCTCTGCAGTGAATATTTCTGTATGTCCAGACTGTATTTTGATACACTATGTATGCACAGTGTATGTGTTTAAGATATGGTGCACAAAAAATAATTTTAAACAACTTTCTGATTACCCTAAACATAGTTAACTGGTCGAGACTTGGCTTGTGTAAATTTGGTTTTTCATTGCTCCATTACTTGCAATTTTACTGGTTTGATGTGTATTTCATGTGATTGATTCACCTTCACTTTGTCCGCAGCAGATGATGGTAGTCAGCACTAAAGCAGGGAAACAGAGGATGTGACACATTAATGTGAAATATTAGCTGTTTTTCTGAAATCTGAAATAATATGGAATCACTAATACGTGAGAAGGTTCTATCTGACATTCTTGTCGAAGCTGAGTTATGTACATATAGTTTATCTTTCAGTGCTGATTATTGTTGCTGTGATGAATTTTAGAAAAAAAACAAGTATTGTAGAGTCTACATTTTTTTTTAAAAAAAAGCAAAAAGTTGGCATTAATTAGGTTCTATCTGCTTCAAGCCAATTAGTATAACCAATGAATGTGGATACCAAATAAAAGCCCAGGAATGAGCACTGAAATTCTACCACAAACATTACTAAGAATAATAAAATCAATTTAACATAAAACCATCAATTTTAAACTTTAAATTGCAAAAAAATCAACTTATTAAACCTAATTTTTAACTCTGACTAATCAAAATCTCAGATTAACAAAAAGCTCTAACTCTGAGGGGTTTGCTTAGAATTACTCCCTCCTAAACCACTAACACAATCTTAAACCCCAGCTACATATTCAGCGCTGAATTTAAGAGCTTCTCATCACTCTTGTAGGAGTATGAGTTCATGGTAGGGCTGTAGTCAAGACCACCATTGTTAACCTCAAGACAAGCCCAAGATCATGATTAACTGTCTAAAGGGGGCCGAGTCCATGTCAAGACCAAAACCAAAAAACATCAAATCTTCAAGTACAAAGAACTGGAAAAATAAGTAATTTAAGTAATTGTTGTTTGTCAGTTTTGCCATCACAATTGGATCAAAAGAAATAATATAAAATAATTTCTAACAGAAACGAAAGTCAATAAAGCCACCCATCTGATGTTAATAAACTTCACTGTCCTTTCACCTGTTTGGATCATATGCCTCTTTTTTAAATTGATTACAAAATACATTCAGAACCATCCATTCAGAGCCATCCATTCAGACTTTGGAAAATTTCTCAAACTACTGTAAACTCCAGCCTTCCTACCGAACAAGCTCAGCTTTGGTACCTAACATCACTAACCAATTTAACTCTGATTAGCAAACAACATCAAGATACAACCACAAATGTGTGCCCTTGAGTACTTTTAGCAATAATCTGTTATCAAAACATTGGACTAAACACCATGCAACGCTGTCAAATTCAGTGAAACCCATTTATAGATCTGCTGCGTAAGCAAATGTTTGATTTAGCTTCCTCAGTCATGAGAACTATATCTGTCTGCACAAACTCAGCTAGTTACCAATTTGACATAATGTTATAAATTTAACAAATTAAATAACAGCAAGTAATCAAGGCTACTTATTGAGGTATAACACAAATTAAAATGAATCTACCTAATTAAAACATCACAACATAACATGAATGAACGAGCCCATACTTACATGGTCATGGAATTCAGTAGAGCGATACGAGTAAGACCCTTCAGTTGTATTTAAACAAACTAATTTGAGAGGTGGAGGAGAGAATGTCCATCTGTTTAGAGGTTATTTCTTACCATGGTTCATCGCATTGAATAGGTAAATGTATTTTATGGAGTTAAAAGTAAGAATTTTTATATTCAAACTTAAGTTGGACTGAAAATTGGCTAGGCAGAGAGAAGTCAGAATACAAATACTACGGATTCCAACGCAAGAGACTATAAAACATCAGAGACTATAAAAACTACAGCCCGAATTCAAGGAGTCCTGCAATAGCAGTGATACTGTGAGCATTTTGATGATGAATGTGAGGACCGCTATGTGGATTTCACGAGTAGAAGAGTATGAACAAAGCCTGTTTTAAATACAAAAGTAGCCAAGCACAACATAGCCTGTAGCAATAAATAAATATACCTACAAATGCTCATCAAAGTGACACAATTATAATATGTAAATGCTAGAATTCACCAGTATATGAAAGTTATATGGGTCATTATTGCTCCTGTGTGCAAAGCAAGAGCAAAAAAAATGTTTTTTTGTTTATTTTTTATTATGAGCTCAAAATTGTTTGTGCTTTGTTCAACTAGCGCCAATGTCTCCTACTGCAGTTTATTTATGTCTGCAGTGTTACAACAACACTTATTTAACATCTCAGTTAATATATCTACGTATTCTATATCTATGAAATGCCTATTATGACAAAAGATGTGCAAAGATGTGAGGGAGAATGAATGTTTGATGTTACATGAAAGCCCTCAAGCAACTGCACAATTTACGAGAGTGAAGCAGAGGCTGAAAGTTTCCCTGCGAGAGCGAAGTTCAGCCCACCCACATATTTATTTTGCCCATTCACCTGGTAGTCCTGGCCACTGGGTGTAGCACTGTTAAATTCTTCACCTGGTTGCAGTTGACAGGCAGAGCTAACAGGTACACAGTAAAAATGGGTAAAGACAGCCTGCTTTTAGCACTGCTTACTGTTTAGCTTATAAGACAGAACAGCATTCATTCTGCAGCATAAATTGCATTGCTATGTGTAGTTTAGTGTTTAGTGGTCATGTTCAGTTTACTGACCAAGTCTGTTAAGTACCTTCTCATTTTCCTTCCTTTCTCATCTGTTTATCATGTGTTTACTATGTTTAGTGAAGGTTTTTCTTTGCTCTCTGAAACACAAATGTCCTCATTGCTGTGGGTGCTGACCCTGCCCCCACTGATCTAAAACACACATGGACCAGCAGTGACTGACTAGCTAGGGTTATCTCCTTCAGAAGCATTCAATTAAACCACCATTGCTGATCCAGAGTGTGTTAAAACTCGGTTATTTTACCTATGTAAGTAGTGTGGAACACTGTTTTCAATGAGATGAAACTTAAAAAGAAACTGGACTGACACATAAGGGGCCATTACCACACAGGATGTATTTCCTTCTCTAAACGTGTGCCGTCAGCGTAGAAGGAGAAATGGGAGAGGCCATTATTTCTGCTGCAAGATATGATCTTTTATTCACAGGAGCAGAAAAGGCACAGAGAGAGACAGCAAGATACACACACACTGCAGAAGAGCTAGAATATTTCTAAAGTTTATGTACTATAATAAATACATATTAAGGAATTAATGTGTCGGAGTGTTTCCATACAGCATTTTCACATAAAATTACACAACACAGTATTTTCATCCTATCATCATACTGCTTTTCTCATATACACAGAGCACACAGTACAACATGTTTCCCCATAGTAACAAATTCTCATAGTTATGCTGTACAATAGATCTCTTCCGGATAAGACCCTGTTCTTATTCTTATTGATTTGTATTGTAATCAATACGCTCATAATATCGGAAAGCCTCATGAAACCTGCAAATATGTGAAAATATAATCAATGTAAAACAGAATACTACATTGTAGCTGCCTTGCTATTTGCCTACATTTAATGTATTTTAATATTTATGATAATAGAATCTGAATCTTGAACAGTGTGGTTATGTTTCTATACTAGTTTGGGTTTATTCGCAGACGGAGCCTTATTATTCTAAACTTAATGAGAGCTTTAAGAATGGAAAGGTCCTGTCTGTGTTGGGTCCAGTCAAAAAACCAAAAACCTATTCTTAATTATTCTAGGATTTCAATGTTCAGCAGTCAAAAGTATCTCAAGGCAATGACTTTTTCAGGATATGAAAGGTGACTGTAGTACATAATAGTTGTGCTGTTTTTAAAGCATCTCAAAACTGCACTGAACACAGAACCTTATATAATTCTAAGCCAATTAATAATTAAACAGTGTAAAACAATGGTGATCAAATCTCTGATAACAATAAATAATTATAAATGTATTGTTATCAAAGATTTGATCACCATTGTTTTACATTGTTTCATTATATAATGATATAAAGAGAACATTTACTCACAGAGTATTACAGAGAGTGACCTGAACTCCATACTGTCCCCGTAATGACTAAGAGAAAGAGATATCTGGGTGTTGTGTGTTTATATATATATATATATATGCAGTCATCACTTCCTGAGAGAGAGTGTGTGTGTGTGTGTGTATTTGCACACGCTGTCACTCAGGAAGTGACAACTGTTCAGTCAGTCTATAAATATACCTCAGAGACGGGAACAAATCACTAAGTTGCAAGTAACAAGTAAGTCTCAAGACTTGACACAAAAGTCCCAAGTCAAGATAGTCGACTCTTTGCACCATGAAAGAAATATTTGAAGATAATTTCTGAAGATTTTTCGACACATTAAAAATAAAAACTAGCTCAGCCCTAGAACTAGTTCAGCCAACTAAAAACAGCGTTTCAACTGAATTTAAACAACAGCAGAAACCAAAATGACCGAGCTGAACAAAGTTGACAGAAATGACAGCAAAATGATGCTGAATGTACGAAGCTGAAGCTGACGTTTTTCGCCAGCAGCTTCGTACATTCACTATCATTTTGCTGTCATTTCGCAAGTCTTTCTCGATTTTCTCGAGTTGAGTCTAAAGTCATCAAATTTGTGACTCAAGTCCAAATCATAGGACTCGAGTCTACACCTCTGATATACGTGCATGAGAGAGAGAGTGCTTTTTTAATTTTTAACATTGTTTGAAAATGCTAGCTGCTCTTTACATTATGCAGAAATGAATGGGCCACTGGAAATGGTCAGAAATTAATTGGAATAAAATCTTTATAACGCTGACTTCCATTTTTAAGTTAGGAAGCCTTTCTCCTTCTGTAAAGTTACTGTTTTGGAGATACAAGGTTTTGTCCCAAGAGCAACAATATGTAAATGAGTTCTGCACTGACTGTATTGGGTCTCATTCGAAAAGCAGTCCCAGCTGAAACACCCCTTATAACATGAACATGAATATGCATGGCTAATCTGCTGGAGGCTGAATAGGTGTATATATGGGTTTGTTTTCATTACATCCCAAAAGTAATTCAAAATGCGCTCTCGCCTCACGACAAGAAGGGCCTGCGTTTGATTCCCCAGCCAGGTGACCAGGGTCCTTTCTGTGTGGAGTTTGCATGTTCTCCCCTTGTCTGTGTGGGTTTCCTCTGGGTGTTTGGTTTCCTCCCACAGTCCACAGTCATGCAGTCAGTCCAGCTGGGGGTGCTAAATTGATGCTAGATGTAAGTGTGTTTGGGTTTGTGTGTGAATGTGTATATCTGTGTTTCTGCCCTGTGATGGACTGGTGACCTGGCAGGAAGCACCTTGGACTTTCGCCCAATAAGATAGGCTTCAGTACCACCTGCAACCCAGAAGGATAAGTGGCTTAGATGATGAAGTGAGTGAATGTTTTGCATGAAATTGATTTTTAAATGGTAGAGCGAGAATCACACTGAACACACTCTCTTCCAGTTCGCCCCTTAAATAGCTCACCCTGTTTGTATTGAGGTCCCTGTGGTTACTGAATAATAAGCCTTATTATGTAATAAGCCTGGGAATTTAAGGGGTTAAGAAGATCTAAAGATCCACAGACCTGCCGAGCTGTTGGAAGGCCAAGGCTTCCATTTACCCACGACTTGTGAAAGTGATGGCAGGAGGACTGCATCATAGCAACATCAGTCCCTTCAGACAGAATCTTCTCCAAAACACGGCAGATAATAACAGAGAGAAGAAACCAGATCAGCCCCTGTAAGCTGAGCCACTTAGTCTTTCTTAATGCCAAACTGCTTTAAAGACGACCTTAAAATGCTTCACTGTTAAAATGGTTTGATGCTGCTGTTTTGTGTTTGACATTTTTATTACATTAATGTTTCCATATCAAGCACAATGTGAAATAATGGTATTCTGGAAATTATAAGGTTTAGTATAATTACATTGAATGATTTAAGTGATGTACGTGCACACATTCCAGTCATAGGTCAAAACATTGCTAAATTTGTCTGAATTATAAAAATCAGAAGTGGTACTAAATGAAGAACCTTTTGGGAGCAAAAAGAGCCGACTCTTATTGCTGAGCAGAGCCAAATCTGCTGATCTGGCTCATTTAAAAGAGCTGAAATTCTCAACACTACATCTTTCCCATTCTGTTCAGTAACTGCTTGAGGCTGGTATTAACCAACTGATAGCATTCATGACTATAGGCTGAACTGGTGAACCTGAATACAAACCAACATCATGGTAAGAATAACAAAATCATGAAAAATGCATGCAAACATAGTTTAGTATATGATTTTGCTGCAATACAAAATAACATTATGTGAACAGAATAAATGAAAAACCAACAAAACAGCTAAGAATTCTGGGATGATTTTGAGCCAAAAGACTCTTCAGTCTTATCCAAATGAATTGATCTTAACTAGATTTACCTCAGCAACTAAGGATTTACAAAAAAAGTATGTTACTAGATTTTCATTAGGAAATTCAACAGATGAGTAAACCCAATATTTATGTTTTACAGTGTAATATTATTACTGTTCACCTTTAACCTTCCACTGAGCTGCAGTTCATCAGTTATCCAAACTTGTCCCTCTCTATATTCTGCAAATGTCTTTCCTTCATACTTCCACCTTGTGATTGATACTTTAATATGCCCAAATTGTAAAATGAAGGAACTCTCAGCAGCTCTGTGCTCTGTCACTGTGTTCTCATCAGCACAAACACACAAACCTGCAGCAGAGAGTGTATTTATCATATTAACTACAATACAGCCACAATTCCAGTTTGGAAGCAAGAGAGTGGTCATAAAACAGTATGCAAGACAACACTGATAAGAATATTGACAACGCATTTCTTCACCTTTACTCATACTTTTATATTAGCATATTTTACTACCATAGATAAGGCCTGTGGTTGTCTGAGCCTTTTCAGACAGTCACTGAGAGCACACTGTTACATTACAGTTCTTTTGTACCAAAGCAGTGTTATAACAAAGCAGTGTTATAACCATAGCCATACATGCTTTCAAATAATAGCACAGATAATTGAGGTGATGAAAACTGTTAAGTCCTGTGAGCTCCTAGTATATCACTGAAACAAACCACAGAGGAATTAACAATGTAAAGAAGAACTTTATTGTAATACCCAATATAATCAAAATCTGCATTTTGAATATTCAAATAAAATACAAAGTAGCCTAGGATAGTTTTGAAACACGTTCTGCCTCTATTTGCCTTTGTATTTCCAAGCTAAGAACACTTCTCAAATCTCAATTATTTAAAACATCCAACTGTAAAAGTAAAGAATTTATGCAGGTACATACAAAAACAGAGAACAAGCAGCACTGTTCCAGAGTATAAAACATGATGTCTGTAACAGATTGTAGAGAAAAAGAAACAAAACAAAACACAAAAGAAAACACTTCCTCATATACTGCAGTGAAAAAGTGTTTACATAACTTCCACATGAATACAATATATTGCTTGATCAGATCTATAAAAGAGGAACTGTTCTTTTTTCAAGGAGTAGTTTTTCTTTAAGATCCAGACCCAAATAGCAGACTCTGATTGAAAGTATCTTGGTTTGATGTTGAGCAGCACTACTGAATCAGTGTAGATCTTTGATGATGTTTGTATTTACATCTCTTTTACATGGCTAACAGACATAAGATCTAAATGCCTAAAATCTATGTAATGTGTCATATTTTGTACAGAATTAATGTACTATGCTTTCAACATTAAATCAACATACTAGCATGAGATCAACAGCTATTCAACCATCGAAGAGTGCTGTTTAATCAACATTGGATTGATAATGCTACAAGCTGGCTTAGGTTGAAGATTAACACACGTGGCTATTTTTTTCCATCTTTTAAATATTCTTAAACATGTGGAGGTTGTTAGGATGAAGGATCAATTGAACATAAGAGGAAACAGGAAAACATAAAACAACACAAAACTAAACTTAGATTTAGGAAAAACAAACAAATGAAAAACAAATAAATCTACTAACCGTCCAAACGAAAGAAAACCAGAAGAAAAAGGCAAACAAAAAGAAACTCTTTTACCCTGATAAGAGAATTATACACATGCAGTATGTGTCTGAAAAATGAAAATGCTGGAAATACATTTCAATTTTAATAAAGCTGCTCATAAAATATCTAGTTCTTTGTGTAAATGAAATGTCAATACTGTTAGGTCAAAATGCAAATTAAAATCAGAGTGGTGAATGAATTTTCATTTTGAGTTCCACATTGCATATATGAGTGGGAAATATAAATGCAAACATTCAAATACATTGTCATTTTGCATAGTACATTTTCATTTTAATGTTGATACTGATATGCTACCATATATGTTCTAGGTTGGAGAAACACTACCCATATGGTTGCTAGTAGTCTAAATGACTACATGACACTTAATAGTAATAATGTTCTAGGTATTAACCAGGAAAATGTAACATACAAACTGTAACATAATGTCCTAGAGAATTACATGGCCGTCAATAAATATTGGCATCCCTGGTGAACATGAACAAAACAGGCTCCAAAAAAACTACCATTACTTATTGTTTATCCTTTTGATCTTTCATACATAATATTAACAACAATCTAACCTTACAGTACAATGATAGAAAGAAAAATAACATCTTATCATATCTATGTGTGCCACATTTTATATGAGTGAAATCTAACTGAAGTATATCCCAATTCATATTTTGTGTTTTAACATTTACGTGAGTGATCAGAAACACTTAAATGGTCAGTCATAATTTCCTGTTTCACTAGGGAATATATAGGAGATGAAACACAGGTCAACTGACCTTAGTCATCTATCTTTATGAGAGAGACCAGGGAAAACAGCAATGATGTGTGATAAAAGGTAGTTGAGCTGCACAAATCAGGAAATGGCTACAAGAAAATAGCAAAACAGTTGAAAATTCCCATTTCCTCTGTTTTGGCAACAATTTAGAAGTTTAAAACAATTGAATATGTTAAGAATCTGCTAGGAAGAGGACATACATCTATACTGAACCCACTAACAGTGAGGAGGATGGTTTGTATGAATAAAG